AACACCTCCGGTCTCCGGTCTGGTCCGTGGTGGCGAGTTAGTTTCTTTCAACTTTGTACTTTTATTTGTCCGTCATTTTCGCATCAACCTGTCTCGGAAGAAGCGATTGCTTTGATTGAGCGTCTTTCGCTTATTTCGCATATTCACAGCTTGACCCTAAAGAGCCCCGGGGTCCACCTCCCGTTTACCTGATCGGCGGGGGACTCTCTCATTGGACCGGAGCTTCGTTATTTTCATTGTTATGGCTTCCGATCTAATCCTGAGTCAAGCCCTTCTATCCTCTAGCTACATGTATACAGTGATACACCGTTGCCTTACGGACAGTGGATCTATGTCCTTTGAGCTCTGTGGAAGGACCCATTGGAATAGCTGCATTAGGATATCGGTATGGAGTAGCACCACACTGGAAATTATAAAAGCAACTGGCTCATGTGGGACTGATCACTGCAGCTGCATTGCAGATGTTATGGGTATGCTTTTATTCCTCTTCTTTCAACATTATTTACGGAGTATACGGCTAGGTACGTAGTTCCTAATGTACTTATCTGTACTCCGTAGCTAGTTACTCACTGCTAAGCTTTCAGGAAACCCTCACATCGGGAGCTCGCATAATTTCAAAGCCCTAACTCACGGTTTCCACTATTGCCTAGAACTTTTAGCGCTCTTCTATCGGTGGATACGTCCGGTACAAGTAACAACTTACAAGTAGTTTGGTTTTCTATATAGAATGCTGTTATGATTGGCGTTCTAATCCATGTATGAAGCTGGTTCCCACATAGTTTGCTAATAGCGTCAAGTAGCTTCTATGACTAGTTCGGCGACAGAGGCAATAAACACTAGGAAGATAAGCGCCATCACATGTCAGTATACATTTGTGCTTCTGCTCTACTGCTCCTTTGCTCCTGTGATACTACCCTCTAGCCATGGCAAGTCTGTAGATATAGCGTGGACCAAACACCGTCTATGCTGCAACTTACAAATTATACCTGACGTTAATATGTGAATAAATATCTACTACGTAGTCTTGAACATCTGCTTCATGGGTCCCCACTATTCTAAGTTTCATATTGAAAAAAAAAGCAAACGCTGTACTCCGTACACATTCCACTTTCACTACGATGCTGGCCCATCTGCGTAACTTGTCTAGGAAATGGCTCCGCACCAATTGGTGCGCTGTGTTAGACCAATGGGATTGTAAGCAATAATAAATGGCATCGGATGGTTTGTATATTGGGTTAGCCCGTAACAGATATTGAATCTGCGGGATGATAGGATATATAATTGCTCCTAGTTAATGTGGCATCAGAGCATATGTATAAAATGGTGAAATTGATGTCAGCTAGGGCAAAATAAGCAGCCTATATTCATGTGAGAGTAGTTTTGTACATTCAAAAGTAAAATAGTCCAACTGCAATAAATGTTCATAATGAGCCCTAATGAGATTGAATGTCAACATTGAAAGTGGATCTGTCGGTCTATCTAGCTATCCACGATCGAGCCTACTCGGGATAAGTCCCACAACAGTAGGCCGGCTGGCCCAATGGCAAGGCGCTTGACTTCGAATCAAGAGATTGCAGGTTCGACCCCTGCGTCGGTCACTTGTTTTTTGTCTTTTTGGCCCTGAAGTGGCCGTGGGTGGGTGGTTGTACATATTTTATGTGAAGACGGTGATATAGGCGGTAAGGATATGGCGATAAGAGACACAAGACTGATAACTAGGCGTTATACGCAGGTCAATGATATCAAAATGTACTCTGCACTACATATATCAATGGGAACTAGGAGCTGTTCTCTAAGGGCTATTACAATGGATAATGTATCAGCTTAAGCGGCAAGTAAGGCTGCGATAGCGGATTATGATTTTTAATTTGATGATAAACCAGGAGAAGTTACCTAGGCAGTTAATTTACATGAGCCACATGAATAGAGCTAGCTATGCAAGTTGTAGATCGGAGTGAGAATAAAATTCTTGGTCCCTGACATTGACACCACATGCAGGTTTTAGATGGTGATCGGCATTCAAAGCCCTACGCATGGCTGGGGCAGTGCTTACAATTGGACCATTCTCGACGCTATTTAAAGACTTCATTGAGAGAATACGAAATATATGACAGAAATGTTTTTTTATTTACAATACAACCCGATCTACCTAATAACACACAAACTCTCACTTATCTAAAACTTAATAAGCTTTTTGCGAAGTGTCGCGATTCTGTTGGTCGCATTAGAGAATGCACGCTTGTCCAACGAACCATCATTCAAAGCAGCAGACAGAGCATCGTAAATAGCCTCTCCCTGAGTGACATTCCTCCCACTGGCAAGCAAGAGATCCATACCAGCCTGAGCAGCCAACAATCCACGGGGACCCTGGTCGCCAAATGCCACCAGCGATCCCGCCTCAATAGCATCGGTGATAGTGACACCCTTGAAGCCAAGTCTACCGCGCAGCTCATTCTGGATAATGGCCTTGCTCAGTCCAGAGGGGTACTTGGCATCCAAAGAAGGATAGATAGCCCACGAGGCCATGACCATGTCGACACCGGCCGCGATCGCCTTCGTATACGGGGCCATATCCACCGTGCGGAGCTCCTCCTTGGTGAAGTTAATGGTGACGGGCTCCACATCCGTATTCTCGGTCGTGCTTGCTCCACCCAGGCCGGGGAAGTGCTTGACGGTTGCGACGACACCGTCACCCTGCTGGGCGTGGATGAATGCAGATCCGCATGTCCCAACGACGCTGGATGAGTTGCTGAAGGAGCGCTGGTAGTTATCGGCGAAGTCTCCGGCCACGCGGTACACATCCAGGACGGGGGCCAGGTTGGCGTTGTTATGGAATTCCTTGAGGGTGGTCGCGGCATCGATGCCCATCTGTGTCGCGGCCGCTTTATAATCGGCGGCTTCACCGACTACTTTGGCGCTGGACACTGGCCCGCCGGACAACCGACGCACCTCTCCGCCTTCCTGGTCCGTCATGACGAGCAAAGGACTGCCGGAATAGTACGGGCTTTGCTTGTAGGTCTGCTGGAGATTGTCAATTGTGGTGGTGAGATTGTCGCTGACATTTTCGCCGAAGAGGATGATACCGCCGACTTTGCCTTCCTTGATCAGCTCGAGGAGCTGAGCGGAGGGCTCAAGGCCGGGGTAAGAGTAGATGACATGGGATCCAATTTGCGCTTGGAGATCCGTCGGGGAAGCAGCCAAAGCTGAAGGCGCAAGGGCAAGGAAGAAAGGAAGAAGAGATTGTGTGAACTTCATTTTGATTGTAGGCTGGTTAAATTGTCAAACCGGGTATCCCTTCATTGCCTATATATCATGTCTCGCTGTTTATGAACACATTGGGAACTCCGATTTTGTCCTATGATTGTCCATGATAGTCCGAATTGTCCCTGAATCTGTTAGGAAATTGCGAGGGGTGTTACATTGATTAGATTGATCAGCGTGGACTATTACCACAAGGGGAAACCCCGCATATGAAGGTTACTATCTGGGAGCCGAGATGTCCACGTTTTGGCGTTTTGGCATGATTGCAACGGTCCTCGGCACCTAAGGAATTTATATTGCTTTTTATGTAACCTGGTTCATCAAAGATAGTTTTGGGACTTGGAAAGAGATATTTATTGGGGAAAGGAGGCCAAACTGCAATCCTAACCGAGGGTTTATTGCCTGAGGTATCCACTCTAACAGATAGGCGTGATAAGGTTCCCTAGTTTGCGATTTTGTGAAGAACATGCTGCGTACCTGCATTGTAACCATAGATTGAATTATGGAGTAAGTCGAGTTTATCTCTCGGCCGACATTGAATAATGGAATTTGTCATAGGTGGTGGGCAGTAACTAGCATTTAAGTATAGAGTATTTCCATCTCAAAGCTCAATTCTCAAATGTGGTTTCTTAACGGGTTTGAATTAGAGTTCCCCAGGCGTGCCAAGAACCTAATTGCACGTGGGAAATCTTATTTCCATAAATAAGCACTTTTCCCCTGGGGCTTCGAAGGTTATCAAGGACTGGTACGGATACGAATAGCCGCATACGTCTCGAAATTAGGTATGTATATGGCACTTGCCACTGACACAAATATATTTGACACCCACAATCACTACCGCATTTGAGATAAGCGAAGGACATAAAACAATGTTCAGGATACACGATCACAATAGCAAGCGCCTTGAGGTCCCCATCAATTGCTCTGACAACGGGGCCCAAGTTGTGTTGGAAGAACAAGCTATATTAATTTAATGTTATAAGTAGGTTTCAGCTGATCGAAGTCAATATTGGATGCTTAAATTGGTTTGACAGAGGATGAAAGATATTCACTGTTGATGGAGTTGGATGGAACAGTCGAGTGAGTGGGGTCCAAGGTGGACTGACGAGGACTGTGATTGAAAGTGCTTTTTGACTTGACAGAAGGCGGGGCAAGAAGACCCAAGTCCTGAGAGTGTCCTTGCACAATGAAATCCAAGAAAAGACACAATTTGGTAACCTGACGGACAAAACTAGACCACAGTGTATCCTTTATCAAGAATATGATCAGCCGCGACGACAGAACACTGATCCTTAAATAGCCCTGATGTGTGGACATAACGAAGGAACCCCGAAACTCTATCGTTCCTACCCCAGATAACCGAGCCGCATACTCCATCGCTGATCTCACTGGCAGAGTCTTGACTAAGCTAGAGCCAATGGCAACAAATCCAGACCTGTTTAGACTCATGTGGATCGTCTGAGGGGTCAAGTCGAATGGGCTAGTCCTGACCCTGACATAAAACCAGAGTATGAACCGTTAAGGAACATGTCTTCGCCTGGCCTTGTCTCGCCCGCCCGAATAAAGTCACAGAGTGTGTGGTCGATATACTGCGTATCATCAATAACAGCCGGAGTAACTTGCTTTAGACGCTGAGCCGATCGTATGGGTCTCTCCATTTCTAACTCACAGAGGTAAAAGCAGTTGCATCGTGCAATCGACTTGGAAACTGCCTGCAGAACTTCGACATTTTCTGGTTCTTATTCCAACACGATCACAAGGTGTCCCCAGGATTGGACTTCCGTGATAGGAATGTTTGCTTTCGCAAAGAAATCCCGTGTCAATTCGAAAATCAAATCCATTGGTTCATTGTCCTTGAGGTTAATTTCTGGGGAGATATCAATTCGTGAACGACTGTAACGGCGCATAGGGATCATAGGCCCCATGTCGTGGGGATCGAGTAGCAGGGTACATGTGCAGTTTGTCGAGGCCATGGCTTGGGCGGCAGTTCATGAAAACGACACTAGATTGTCGCACTCAATTGCCCGTGCTTTTGGAAATAGTTCGAAAAGGAATTTGGTAGCTGCAAGTTCAAAGAATTTCTTGGGATGTTCTCGAAGATCAAACGACGCCATTACTGTCTGCCGAGCGGGTCGTAAGGGGATTTCGAAACCATTCGAAACCATCTTGTGGGGGACCTCTCTTGCCTTCCGAGAGATGATCCTTGGACTGTGGTCGCCCTGCATACTTGAGGGTGGATCTCCCGCCCATTGCTGCTGGTTAGTATGAGGTGGGGAGAAGATGATCAAGACCTTCGGCTGGAGAATTCTGGTGATGGTCCTTGGTCTCTTGTTTAGAAATTCAGCTGACCGCATGATGACATTAAATCACGTGCTCCTTCTTTTAACTCAGTCGTACGGAGTGTTCATAACTCCCTACCGCCTCTATCACCGTCCTCACTACGGACTAACTCGATTTCTTCCATTCGCAATAGTACGACTATCCATTGATCAGACTAGTACATGGCTTTTCTGGTGCCTTTTAAACTGGGGTTTAATACATTTCAAGTAATTTAGTATTTTTTAGACTCTAGCGGAACATTATTCAAACATTATTCACACTGCATATGATATATCATTTTCGGAACTACTGAGTACCTACATACATATAGAGTGCAGAACTAGTTCTTCCATGACATGAGACAAAAACGTGGTACATATGTATATATTCCGTAGCTCGGAGCAACATCGGAAGCCACATGGCAGCTGCCGAGTAGTATCTCAATGGGCTCAGTCTCTTTGAAATTCTAGGATCCTTGGCTGTTAGCTACTATTTTCTAAGCCCAGTTGGATTATATGTTGTAATGAACATTTCTATAAGAAGCTTAAGTTGTAAAAGACATCCAATATGAGAAGGCCCCTGAGATGCTCAACGTGGCCGATTATCAGCCCCACTCCCAGATTCCCAAAGAGGAAGCTCAAAGTAGAAGTCTTGGCATGGAGATTAAGCACTCTAACCGACAAACCATCTTGCTTCCCTCGTGCTAAAAATTCTAGTGGTTTTCTAGAAACGGGTAATATTGATCAGATATGTTGTACGCGATTCTTGCCAAGCAGCTAAACCCTTACCACACCGTAATGGAAACTCTTGCTCAGTACGGAGTAGTAATTGTATGTTGTAGATCTTGTTAGTTAGGGATTCACATATAAAATGTACATACGGCTAATCATCAGTTCCTAGACTCTCGAAGCAGAGAGGATGATTCTACTCCGTACGCTCACGATTAAAATGTCAAGTACGAAGTGCCTAATCTCCAAAGAGGGGTTCTCGTACAGCTATAGCGCGAGGAACCTTTATAGGCTGTTCGAAGACCCTTCGTGCTATAGCATTATGATAACGTCAATTTTAGAAGTTGAAATAGTACTATATTAACAATTTTTACCGGATATCGAAGTAGGAAATAAAGATTGGCCGTTATGCAAATAACCCCTAACGAAAGGTAGAATTACCACTAAGAATTTCCATTACGGTGTCGTACCCCACACCCCAATGACCTCGGGTTGGGTTGCTTGGCAAGAATCGCGTAGACTATTTACTGGGTCTATTAGTCTGCACGGAGTACCTGGAGGGCGTCATTGCTTAAAAATTTCACCACTTGGAGACTTGGAGGGCGTCATTGCTTTGAAATGGCCATTGATTCACCACCTGGGCATGGGCTATAAAGACTTTGCGACACCACGCATACAATGCTGCACTGCTGCCTTATAATTCAACACCAAGAAAAGACATCCGCATCTGATAAAGAATCATGGGCGCGCCAGAAGTTCCTAGCCCGCCTGATGAGGCTATACAGCATGATCCGGAGCAGGCTAGGATAAATCAAGAGAATGTCGATTTGGAAAGATTGGGAAGAGAGCGCCCAAAGTGCTTTGGTGGCGCTTGGTCCGAAATCTCTTTTTGTCTCTCGATTTTTATGTCCCAAATTCTTGCAGTCAGTCACGACGATGCTCCTGGACAACGAGGAAAAATTCTGACATTTACCAGGAATACTACATCTCAGGCTCAAATGTCCTCCTTCCAACGCTCGTCAGAGAGCTTGATCTCCCTAAAGCTTCGGCGGTATGGCCGTCTACCGCACTCTCGCTGGTCGTGACCTCAACGCTCCTTATATTCGGCAGATTAACCGACATGTTCGGCGGATATATCATCTACAGCGGGGGAGCTATCTGGCTCACGATATCCTCTATCCTATGTGGTGTCTCCCAAACATGGCTGATGTTGATTATTTGTCGAGCGTTGCAGGGCTTTGCTCTGGCCGCCTTTCTTCCATCGGGAATGATGATTCTCGGCAGCACGTACAGACCTGGACCCAGAAAAAACATCGTTTTCAGTATCTATGGCGCATGTGCGGCGTTGGGCTTCTTTGTGGGGATTTTCTTCTCCGGACTCACTGGTGAATATCTCACCTGGAGATGGTACTTCTTCTTCGGAGCAATTCTCTCCGCGATCACATCAATTCTGTCACTCTTCTCCATTCCGCGCGATTATTCCGAGATGAGAAAATTGGGCATCCAGATGGATTGGCCTGGTGCGTGTCTTTCTATCCCGGCGGCTGTGTTCATTGTTTTTGCCATTGCGGATAGTTCATATGCGCCGCAAGGGTGGAGAACGCCATATATCCCTCTGTTCCTCGCTCTTGGACTTATCTTCCTCGGAATGATGGTCTATGTGGAGGGATGGGTGGTGAAGAACCCTTTGCTCCCTGGTGATATTTTTCGAGTTAAGTATATGCTGCCTCTGGTCGTCGCTCTGCTATTTCTTTATGGCACATTGGGAATATTTCTCCTCTATGCCGTTTTGTAGTGAGTTATATCCTGACGATGTCGTTCAGACTGGGATTTACTGACATCAGCTACAGCATGTCTGATATAATGGGTGCTTCGCCAATGCAAATCGTGGCATGGGCTGCGCCTATGGGAATTGGTGGCCTTATCCTCTCAGTCGGAGGAGGAATGATCTTCCACAAAGTCCCAGGAACGATATTGATGCTGATATCATGTCTCGGCTACGTGGGTTCTGGGTTGTTTTTTGCCGTTATTCCTCTTGGCGGAAATTACTGGGCTTTCGTATTCCCGTCGATGATATGCGGCACAGTCGGCATTGACATCAGCTTCAACATCGCCAATGTCTTTATCACGACAAACCTTCCAAAATCAAGGCAAGGCTTAGCTGGTGCATTGATCAACTGCACTCTGCACATGGGGATCGCTGTGCTACTTGGTTTCGCGGACATTGTTCAGACCCAGACGTCTGACTTGGGTTCTCGGCGCAGCTACAAGGCTGTCTTTTGGTATCAAACCGGACTAGCGATACTGGGTCTTCTTATTGTCGCCTTTTTCGTGCGAATTCGAGAGGCTAAGAGTGAGTTTACGCTTGATGAAAGAGAAGCAATGGCAGCAGAGGGAAATGAAAGAGCTGGCGAGGTCGGAGATGTTTGATACCCCATGCATTTGTATTTTTTTAGAAATAATATTAGCCCTCTATAGAACAAGACAAGACCCTCGTCTGTGAAAATTTCGAAACTTCAATATCGAGCACAGTCGACATCGCCATTCTATTTATATAGCAGTGCATGGGATCTCCGATTGGCTAACCGAACCCACAATCACATGTTCCTGAAAGCTCACGTGCCATAACTCTGTTGCCTTGGCGTGCATGGCCCCGTGCATGGCCCTGGCAGCAATCCGTGGTGACACTTGATGATCTTTTAGACCTCTAGTCTCCGTGCTCTACTCGCCATTCCCGGAGCCTAGAAATATAGATCACAATGCGCCCTTTTGATTCCGGATGACGAGTGAGATTCATGACAATGTCAGTCACAACAATTCCACTTGAACCTTTCATATCGACCGCACGTGCGGAAACGAGTCACGCCGACGCAGTCATGCGAGACCTCCAATCCGACCGAATAAAACCGGAGAAGAAAGAGAACGTGGGATTGATGGTCGGCGATAGTATGGCTACGTCGGCCATGGATTTCACTGGGACATCATCGTTTAGAGAAAAAAAACGTTCCTCCGGCCTTAATTTCCTGACTGCAGAACACCCGCTTTTCCCACCCATGCCCTCGTATGGGCCACCATCCGCATTGCGCAGGGTCCAATACTGTGCGTTCATCATCGCTTCATTTTTTCTGTCGATATGCTTCTTGACGGTCATATTCATCGGGGCCCTGATCCACACAGCCGGAGTCGCAATCTCGGAAGCTCGTCTGCGATTGAGCGGCCACAACCCGGATACGATGAGGTCGTTCTATACAGAGGAACAGGCGCGCAGGAAGGCACGGGCAAACGTCGATCGGAGATGGGCTCTGCGCCAACAGAAGAGGGACATGGACGAGGAACAGGGACCCGAAGAATGCCAAGAATGCCCTTCGTTGGAAGGAGGCAAGGACCCTCTGGTTGGCGATGTCGCATACTATGCCCGCCGAGTTGGTCTTGATGTGGAGACATTTCGTGTGCAGACAGAGGATGGTTTCATCATCACCCTGTGGCATGTGTATAATCCCCGGGAGTATGAGGCATTATCACCAGAAGAGCGGCGTGAGCGTGGTCCCGATGTTTTCACCAAGCCGAGATTGTCGAATACATCTCGTCCACAATCTAACCGTCGGTATCCTGTTCTCCTAATACATGGATTGCTGCAAAACGCTGGTGCATTCTGTACCAATGACGAGGATAGTCTGGCATTTTACCTCTGCAAGTCCGGGTACGATGTTTGGTTAGGGAATAACCGCTGTGGATCGCATCCCGAGCACACCACTTTGTCGACCGACGACCCGCGTATGTGGTCATGGGACATTCGGCATCTCGGGACATTGGACCTCGCAGCACTCACGTCGCGTGTGCTCTACGAGACTGGGTTCGAGAAGCTAGGTCTAGTGTGCCACTCCCAAGGAACCACGCAGACCTTCGTTGCTCTAGCCAAGGACCATCGTCCCGAGCTGGGTGAATACATCTCGGTTTTCTGCGCGCTCGCACCCGCTGCATATGCGGGCCCGCTTGTGAGCAGACCGTATTTCCGATTCATGAGCCTTCTCTCTCCGGTGATGTTCCGAATTGTCTTCGGAATTCACTCTTTTATTCCTTCCATGATGACCGCTCGGCGTCTGCTCCCGCCTAGGATATATGGAACCCTAGCATATTGGGTGTTTTCCTTTTTGTTTGACTGGTCAGACACGCGCTGGGAGCGTGATCTGCGCCACCGAATGTTCCAATTCGCTCCTGTGTATGTCAGCGCTGAGATGATGCGCTGGTGGCTGGGAAGCGACAGCTTTGCGAAACATAAATGCATTTTGTCCACAGACAACGAACTCCTTCAGGAGCCAAACGTGAACCCGCATACGCAAGATGCTGTTTCTGAGCATGGTGATGATCCCAGAGACGCATGTTTGGGCCCGGCTTCAAGCCCCTGGTATGGCCCGAGGACACCACCGTTTGCTTTCTGGATCGGAGGCTCTGATGCTCTTGTTGATGGTCGCCGGCTTCTGAATCGCTTCCAAAGTGGATGTGAGCCTCATGTGAGTCTCGTTCATTCGAAGATCATTGGAGAATATGAACATCTCGATGTCCTTTGGGCGATGGATGCGATCGACCAGGTTGGCAGGGAGGTCAACAAGGTCATTTGGACAACCATGCCTGATGATGCACGTCAGATATGTCGCACCCCGCGTGGTTTAACTTTAGACATGGTAGACAGAGGTTAGCTTATATTTGTTTAGGCATTCATATATATTCTACTTCATAAAGAGCGCTTTCAGCCCAACAACACTTCATGTTCATCCCTGGGAAAACATCTCTTACAGAGGACGACTTTCTTACTATGAATGCGAGTATGCATAATGCGCTTATTGCATTCATTTATTCCTTTTGAGGCCCTAGTTCAACTCGGCAGACCCAGGTCTTCAGGCACCGTTCAAAGATCACCTCGATCGGGTCGCAATTCAAGATATCGGGAGCATCCTGGAGAGCACGGCGCAGATTCACCCGACCATATTCAGCCATGTTCTCATAGACTTCCCAGCGAGTCTTATCGCCCAAGACGGCCTCCTTCAACATTGGAGTAAGCGGGTGCAGGGGGTCGTCCGGGCGGTGAGACAGCGATTTGACCCAATCGGTGTTGGAGACCCCACGCAGCGGATACCGCGAAATCCGTTGAAGGATCTCGAAACTAGTGTTAATGTCGATCGCGTTTGTCAGATCGGGCTGAATGAGATTATAGGCATGGCCGAAGTTGTTGTGCGAGGTGGAAATGTGGAGTATGGCGTTGACGATGAAGTCTACAGGAATGAACTCCTTGCGCTGGTTAGGCAGAATGGGGAATAATCCCAGAGATATACAGCTAGTGAACAGACGAGAAACAAAATCGTCCGGGTTGCAGAGGCCTGATTTGCTGTGACCGAGAACGAAGCCCGGCCGATAGATGGACACAGGGAAGCCGTTGTCGATGGCACCCCAAACGATCATTTCAGCCACGTACTGACTCTGCGAATAGCCGGTGTCATACTGCATAGCGGCCAAATGTGGTGCCGGGCGCTCGTCCTCCGGCAACATAGTGGCCCCAGTCACATAGCCCGTCGGCCCGTACGCGGCGATACTGGAGGAGTAGTGCATGGCCTTGAGACGCTGATGCTTGGCGAATTCTAGCATGAACAGTGTCCCTATGACGTTTACCTGGCGGTGACTTGAATACGGAGCGACGTAACTGACCTTGGCTCCCAGATGGAAGACAACACTCGCCCAGGATGCCCAGTGGTCGTATTGGGTCGTGTCAAGCCCGAGTTTAGCAAGAGAGAAATCACCAGGGACTGCAATGACCTTTCGGAGGTCCAGAAACAGCCCGTACTTTTCCCCCGTCTCCTGAAGACGGCGCAGGGCAGTTGTCTCGTCCTGCGCCCGCACCAGGCACGCAACCTGCACAACCTCTGGCCGCTTCACCAGAGCGTCTAACAGAAATATTCCGATGAACCCGGTAGCTCCCGTAAGGAAAACCCGGCCCTCATCGGGGCTCTGCCAATGGGGTATTGTAGTGCCTTGTGGCCTCAGGAACTGGCCCAGCTGGGCATCTTGCAGCCAGATTTCCTGCTCGGACTGGGCCGACAGATCGTCCCCATTCAATTGCAGCCGCGTCACCAGTTGGACTAACTGCTCGAATGTCGAGTTCTCATACAACATGCGAGCCTGCATCGAAACCCCGAGCGCTTGGTTGATGCGGGTGATCATCATGACAGCGACGATGGAACTGCCTCCAAGGGCTACAAAATCGGCGGTGGGTACCAGATGCTCCGCCGGTAAGCCACAGACATCCAGCCAAATGCGCTCCACTTGGACAGCTACATCATCCGAATCAATCTCGAAGGCCGCCGCCCGACCCCGCGAGCGCTCAATTTGCTCGTACCATTGGCACTCCAGTGCTCTGCGGTCTGCCTTGCCGGTCGAGCTTAAGGGCAGGTCGCCGATTAGTTGGATGCGCGGCACCATCAGATGAGGAAATTGGCTGATGTAGGCTCGGAGAATCGCTCCTTCCGTGGACTCGTGTGTGGTAGGAATACAGAAAGCCAGCAGAAACTGGCCTCTTTCGACTTCATCCGGAGTGATCTTGACTACTACGGCCGCACTAACCAGCCGGGTCTCTAGCAGGCTCGCCTCGAGGGCCTCGAGCTCGACCCGCTGGCCGCGGATCTTGACTTGATTGTCTTTTCGACCAAGGTAGAAGTGCACTCCATTCTCATCAGTCCGCATAAGGTCTCCTGTCCTGTAAACATGGCCAATACCTCGAGTGGTCCGACTCTTGAGCTGAGGCATTGTCACGAAGGACTGGGCAGTCTTCTCGGGGTTGCCGATGTAGCCACGAGCTACACCAGGCCCGCCTACCAGCAGTTCGCCCACTTCTCCCGGCTGAGCCAAATGCCTCTTCTCATTAACCAGGAAGGTCTCCACGTTTCCGATCGGCTTACCGACCGGAATCTCGCCACGCAGAGCTTCGTCCTGACTAATAACGTGCCAAAGAGTGTAGATGCTGCATTCCGTGGGGCCGTAGCCGTTGATGATGCGTCTTGGGGCCCCGCCATCGAAGATTAACCGTATTATATCGCAATTAATCGCCTCTCCGCCGGTAAGAAGTGTATCTAGTGTGGAAAAGGCATCCGAACAGGCGAATGCAGTGACTGTGAGGAGAGAAGTGGTGAGCTGTAGCACATTGAGCTTCTCAGACTTCACGAAGGCTCGCAGAGCCATCGGGTCAAGCACCGTCTCTGCCGGGATGACCACCATGGTGGCTCCACGGAGGAGAGTGGTCCAAACCTCGACCAGAGAGCTGTCAAAATGGACGCTCGCGCCATGGCCAACTCGTTGGCCGTGACGAACAAAATCGCTCGAATCCAGGCTAAGATTGATCAGCCCTTCCGCCATTGAGTCCACGGCCTTGGGCTTGCCTGTCGTGCCCGAGGTATGCAGTATGTGAGAACAAGTCCAAGCACTGCGAAAGACGGGATTGAAGCTATCCACAGCCATCAGAGGGACCTTGCTATGATCGACTAGGGTGTGGCGAAAAGTTGGCAATCGGTGCTGGTGCGTTGCATCGGTGAGGACTAGCGCTGATTTCAGGTTCTCAAGCATGCTGGTGAGATGACTGTCGGGAAGTTTCTCATCGAGAGGAACACAAACTAGACCGGCATATATGACAGCAACTTGACCCAGGACGTGATTGAGCCCCCGAGGGATGATAATGCCTACCGGGGAGGTATCTCCTGGATTGCCCGCCTGGATCTGGATTGCAAGTGCAAGGGCCTTTCGATGTAACTCGGCATAGGAGAGCTGATCCGTGGAATCCTGGATGGCGGTTACCACTCCATTTTTGCGGATTTGTTGCTGCAAGAGACCAGCCAGACCAATATCCTCCGGGCTAGTCCTGCCACCACGATGTGGGACAGGAAAGACTGGCGTGGCATATTCGGATACGCCGCTTCCATGAGCCAGGGATCCCATGTCAATACTCTTATCGTACATGGTGATAAGTGTAGTTATGAAAAAGGATGTGGTATGAAGTAGATGTTTGTTACAGGTATGTTCTGCTATGAGGATATGGACAATAGCAGTATATTGATAGCTCTTGTAATGCTACATCATGCCTCTGCTATTTATACTTGCTCGGACCACTACTTCTGGAAAGTCGTGCTTATCCTATACTGAACTGTAATCCCTAGAGACGTATGAGGCTTTTACTTGAGACCCATAGAGTGACATCTGTCCCATCCAATTGAAGCTCCCACAGGAACCGGATTTTATATCCCTATTGCATTTTATACGCCCGGGCCAGGACTTCGCATACTTGGCGGGCTATGCTTTGACTGTTGTGCTACCTACACACTGCTGATCTCCCCAAACCCCATCTCTATCTCCAAATATGACGTCGTAATTTTGCCCCCTGTCTATATCCATAATCAATAATGGCTGCTTCTTCTCGACAAGGGTGGCGCATCGAGACCACCGGTACGGACCCTCGGGGGTGATAGACAAGCTCCAATTCCAAGCCCAAGCCTATGCTAAAGCATCAACGTGGCTGAACCTACCGGAGATAACCCTGGGAGGGTCCGCAGCAGCGGCAGCGACAGGAGTTCGATCCCAGAGTCGCACGAATCCCAGGGGCGAGTATTATCCACGAAGTATGATCACAATCAGGCCGACCTGATGACTAGACCTAGATCTCAATATCTCTGTACGTGCAGACTTGGACATGCCTCCCGGCACAGTACGCTTAGTGGAAGAAGCCGGCATCCAAGTTCCGGCCGGAGAGGGTCCCGACGAAGAAAATGAGAAATACCTGCACAGATCCCATTTAGGAAATGGCTGATGGTAAAACTCCGAGTTCGGAGTGGTTGTAAGTTTGGGGTTCCCACGCGAAAGTTCGACGAGCTCGAAACAATCAATGACTTTCCTTGGCTCATCACTTGCATTATGATCCGGGAGATCATGGCCCCGGATGTCCAACTCGGCTCTAGGATTGCGCGATCTGACATCTCCATCCAATAGAATCACAGATTGCGAGATTCGATATTGGCTTCCTCCCATATACTCACTGTATTTCTTCCGATGCCAAGCGGCGACTGATCGTCTCCCTGGATGAGGGCTGCGGGCTTTCCAAGGCTGTAGACCCGTGGGAACAAGTACTTTTGTAAAATCCATGACGAATCAAGAATTGCTCGTCCTTGAGCTGATGTCCCCTGAGCCCTTTTTTCACTTTCGGAAAATTTTGCCTGTGTTCTGTTGCATTGCATGAGGATAATGGGGCACGCATGACAGAACAACATGACATCGAATATAGTTGCTTCAAGCTCGGCTCGACAAGCCAATGCTGAGGGGATTGATTGTGCTAAACGGTGTTCTAGGAAAGGTTGAGAGACCTTTACATGTGGTGAATTATCATGGTACAAGAAATTTGATGTACTGGGTTCAGCTTTGATACGTTGGTTTTTTGTTGAGCGAGGTTTGTGACCGCCCTTGCCCTTACCCTAATACCTATTTTGGTCAGGTACAGGTGCATGTCAGGTGATGTATATTTGTATGAAGCTTTCCTGTTACCAAGGATCGGGCGATGAAGTATCCGCTCTTCAATTGCTATCGATGACAACAGAGTTTATGAGCCCTTCGCTGCACTGACCTTGAGAGGTGAACTCAGCCCAGCGCAACTGTCCCGTCGAAAGCTGAAGGACTTCAGTCCAAGTCAATCTAAGCTCAGCCAGGCCCACTAACCCCGCAATCCCCCGGATTTGGGTGGGACCGGGCCAAAACCTCCCGACTCCACAACATTCCACCTCCATCGGATTATCATAACACATATATGCATATGGCAATATTGAAAGCAGATATAAGGTCAAAGATACTATGTTCCCATTTAGTATCATATCTGTGTTGCATTTCAGGGGAACCCACCTACAGCAGGATGATCATCTCACCCGAACAGCCCCCTATTTGTCTGTGTGTCACAATATACACAGCTGTGAGTAGTTGAGGGTACACAGGTACTTACATTGCCCTGGTATACATGTACTTGTGGTACTTTGGCCAAGCCGTGATGCCAAACCTGACCAATCCCATATAGTCGAGGCCAATCAAGACCGCTTCGACACAACAGGGCTAATGTGGCGGAGAGGGCTAATGCGGCCCCATTATGATCGACTGGAACTTCCCACTATCAATTGCTAGAGTGGTTGTTATTGTTTTTAGTATTCCTATATGTCGAGTCTCTTCAATATTCACAGATATGTAATTCGAGGTAGATATCATGACCGACATCCACTTAAGCCACAGGGAGACACATGTATCCTGAAACAGTTGACGGTTCCAAAGGTTATGTGACGCATCGCGACCATTGGCTTGCCACCGTACAGGGATGCCCTAGATGTCACTTTTCACTCAGTCCTAAGTCCTGATTGACTCCCAACCCCGCATTCAGTCAGATGATGCCAGTGTATATAATCTCTTTCGTCGCTCCCACTGCTTGTGTACTGTCTCTGCTTTTCAAGAAACTCTCCTCTCCATCAACTTCCATCACACTTACAGCATCAACTTGACCTTTCCATCAACACTCTATCCTACACACTACATCCAAGATGTCGGCAGCCATGGGTCCTATTATGCAGCAACTGCAGGCTCTCCCTGCCCGCTCGAGGCAGGGTCTGAATAACCTGCGCCAGCGTATCTTCCAGCAGGGTATGTCCTTACCCCTTGTCTTCCGACCGTCTCATTAACCTTACTCCTGATATTCGGATACTAACACTGTTCAAAGGAGAGAGACAACCCAGAGAAGCCAACCTCCTGCGCACCTCCCTCAATGTTCACCGTCCCGTTTGGATCACTGCTGGCGGCGGTCTGTACACCAGCATGGCAGCGGTCTACCTCACGATGCGATATCTGAAGCGTGTTGCTAGGTAGATGGGCCAGTCCAGTTATCTGCCTGTTCGAGTCACTTATACTCGACTGCATGATTCTACAACTCCCACACATGTTTTCCACTACTCTTCACATACATACCCCTTTTATTCCTCACCCCCATGTATCTATTGACAACCACCGTGTCTGCTCATTAGCTGGGGGGATTCTTCAGGTCCCAGGTTGGGCTATTCTTTCTTTTATTCGGTCGGCCGTTGGTATCCTCGTCACAGGATGGCAAGATAGACCTGGCATTTCTGTTTTAAGGGCTACTTTACCCTAAATCAATACTATCACAATGAACATATTACAAGTAAACTAGGCCTGCCTAGCCCCAGCCACGGAGCGGTACGCGCCTTTAAATTATGAGTGTGTAAATAGAGCGAAATCCATATATTTTTCTAGCAAGGTACACACACATCGAAAGTCGCTATATGAATCCCCAAAAGTAAATCAGGTTCTGTGCCAGTACAAGTAAGCAAGTCAAAGTATGTCGCAAAACCCGAGAAGTGACAGATCCACTCGGCTGAAGAATCCCCAGATTTTGAGATGCTCCACTTCGCCATCAAAGGAATCAGGAGTGCGCTCGGCCCATCGCTTCCACCATACACGAATGAGACCTCAGGCAGACACTTTGTAAACAGCCTACTGGCCTATCATACCTCCTCTTACTCAGAGCGTCCTCACTTCGCTGGGATGAGCTCATTGCGGATGGGTGCATGCGTTAGTTTTTGTCTAGGGGCTTGGCGACCCCGCGTTTGTGTGAATTGGGTGGTTTGACAGGGCAAAATGAATGTCTGCTCATATTTTCAGGTAGAGCAGATGGCTATCTGCAAGTATAAATTCATTTTTAGGAAGGCTATGTGATAAAGAGCCTTGCCAGAGGATTGTCTGGAGCGTTGTGTTTCTGGTATCCTTGAACTTGGTGTTGTTTCTTTAATTGGAAAAAAGGGTGAGACCTGATTGGATCACTTATTCTCTTAGTAAAATTAGTCATCTGAGCACCGGGTCTCATCAAATGGCACCTAAATCGTTCCTAGTCCACGTAGATGTGTATCACTTGCTTGATCTGCTAAGAGAACATGTATAAGTCATTCCGTGATTCTAAGTGCTCGGGGAGAAGCAACCATGATTTGAATCAATTATGTTTCTTTTCATATGGCTCAAAGATCAAGTATGTACATACACCCCCGCCGGAGTCCCGCCGGAATTGCCAAGCTTTCTTTTAAACTTTGGTGGAGTCAACCTTAACTGTCGGACTAATGTACTGTCTTCCTTTACCCAAAATGCAAACTCAACGATACGCACACCTCCTTAAGAGCTACGCGGTATGCCTCCGCGAAGGTTCTGCTCAAAGCACTCGCTCCTTGCAGCCCTGTTTTCAGCAGAATAGCATGGCAGGTTCTTCTTGGTCCGGTGTCGACATGGATTTAAAATGTCTCCGCGCAGGTATACCAAGCTGACGTGATGGAACTTACGGCCTCTTCTATTTTGTCTACGTAAAGATAAGCACATACGACCATAGGGTGTGGAAAACAGGGCTTCCCGTCCGCTCAGCCGTACTTAAGCCACACGCCGGTGAGTTAGTAGTTGGGTGGGTGACCACCAGCGAATCCTCACTGTTGTATGTTTTTGTTTTTGTTGCTACATTGGTATATGTATGAAGTACTTAGTAGAACATTTTTCTTCTCCAATGGCTTTATATCAGAGACTGGCAGTGAGATTCGAACAACGCAGCTTTATACGGGCTTCACGAGTTTCACTAACCAAGCCGATTAAGACAGAGTATGCCACATGCCCATAGAAGGCTCTACAATCATATGTCAGGTTTAGAAATCATCACTTCTTGCCCTTCTAGCTCACGAACCGGCCGTTACTTCTTTACAGAAATTTCAAACCCTGATATAAGGGCCGGTTACTACATATCCATACTCTATACCATAGTTTTGAGCTATTCTATCTTCCTCTCTTGTACTATGTCACATACATACGACCATAGGGTGTGGAAAATAGGGCTTCCCGTCCGCTCAGCCGTACTCAAGCCACACGCCGGTGAGTTAGTAGTTGGGTGGGTGACCACCAGCGAATCCTCACTGTTGTATGTTTTTGTCTTTTTTCTTATCATCTATTGTACTAGATGGATGTTACGGGTTTACTGGATTGGCTATCTATTTTGGCAAGTATATAAGGTTGCGGCAAGGAAAGACCAATGGGAAGACGTTTAGATTTACAGAAGGGAAATATTGTTTGGGATCAGGTGATTCCTAGTTCTCCGGGACTTAGACAGCTTTGTCTTGTAACGTTCCAGGCCCTGCAAGGAAGAGTGTATTCAACGAAAATAACTAGATAGAGAAAGAAAGGAGAAGCAAGTGCAGAAGTGGGAAGTGGCCTGCTCATATAGCTGAGCACTTCTGCAAACGTTGCAAGCAACAAACCTTCTCGCAAGCAATTTGTTTGATGAAGGAAAGAAAGACCAAGAGAAAGAAAAGAAAGAATAAAGAAAAGAACAAAGGAAAAATGAAAACGGCAAACGTGAAGCAAGAAAGGCAAACAAACGAGTAAACACGTAAGCATGTGATGGCGATCTGTAGGATCGAATTCCACGTATTCAAAAATCCAACACAGCTCAGCTTTCGGGTCCCCGGACTCGTTGCCCAGACTCATCTCGCGTTAGACGCCCGCGTTTGATTGCTTTCATCGTTTCGGGGAATTATTCTTCTGAACTTAGGTATTCAGGGGGAGTTTAAACTCGACGGCGCTTTCTCTCGCTTGGAGAAGCTGGATCAAAGATACCATCGTATAGTTTTTGTTATTAGAGTTCTACTTCGGCTTATGAAAGAAAGTCATAGAGTTTCCTCGATGAGATAGAGATATATTAATTGAGATCGGTATACTCCTATGAGATTCTCGTGGGGGCGAAGTCCCTAAGCGACAGCCGAAATGCTGGTCCCTTAGCTGGGTCCTCGGCTAGAAGTCTAGATTCTATTCGAAAAGGCTGTAAATATTAGTATCTAATTCCCCTAATATTATAGCGCAAAGGGAATGTACCAGCGCTTCGACCTTAGCGATCGCCTGAAGTTCTTTTACACTATCTACAATTGAACGCTCTGGCCGCCAAATAGATATAGTCGCTTTTATAGACCCTCTATACTCAATAGTAAGGGTAATGACCACTCTCACATTCCCATAGGTATCTAGGATATAATCATCTGCTAAGTCCGCAGCAGCTCGAGCTTTATTCGTATAGCATACTTCCATGATAATACCGGGGTATTGTGCCTATATATGCTTAAATGATACATCTAGGTTCCGTTTATAATAAGGCCGCTTTGCATTTTCTATATCGCTCGGCAGCCAAATTCGGCTAGTGGATTTATGGCCTATCTTCTTTGCAAAAGCAGCGAAGGGTTTATCGCTGTTTTGAAACTTAATTAGTCGGAAATTTCAGCGACTACGTTCGCACAAAATATATCGTGGAGAGGAGTCGGCATTCGGATAGTTACAAGGGACTGGTAAGGGTCGTAGTCGAGCCTAGAATACAGCTTAGCAAAAATACCCTCAATACATCTGAATATTAGCAGTACTTACCTTACTTTATCTTCCACGTAGCCGTAAAGAGATTGGTCGCCCTCTAACATACGCAAAACCTCGCTATAATCGTCCGCAGTGAGCCGGCGCTGCCACCAAGACTCTGGTGGCCTTTGACCTGCACGATGGAGTTCTAAACAGTCCAGAACGGCTTGAGTACTTCTCGACAAGCGTTTCTCTTCCGTAGGCGGCGGCGTGAGGGGAGGGTTCAAAAAGCTCCCGGATGGGGTAATTTCATCCATGAGGTGTGAATGAGACGGCATCCTTGGGATATGGGGTTGTTTATGCTCCAGAGAAGGGGCTCAGCGCTGGGTGAACGTAGGTATCACGCGATGATAAGGTGATTGGCCCTGGGGGCATTGTATGGTAACAAACTTGGCCCCTAAGGCGTCAAGCACGAGTATCGAGCCGGTGTCTAGGGTCGCAGAAGTAGGAATTCAGACGATGGAAGTGGCGAAGTGCAGATGCCAAGGCGTGGTTTGTGGGGGGCCTTTCTCCGCAGAAGATGTTACAATGTAGGAATTGCTCCGATCATGCTTCTCTTTTCATAGAATACTGGTATACATTTCTACTCTTCTCCCTACGTTGTAATAGGGCTTTTTTAATTTTCAGATCTTTTCGGTAAGCCTTAATAGGCTTGTCCCGATCGAGTATCGTGCCCCACCTATATCTTCTCCAAGACTCGATTGGAAAATGGATCTTTGACAGGGTTCGTTTGCCCGCAACCTTTCCTAAACATAAAGCGCAAACGCAATATATCAATATTTTCAATCAGTTCCGGGAGTTGTTGGTCCAATGTCCGTAGGACTCAACGGGGACCGGCAGCTCAAGCTGTAGGTAGCCGTCTTACCGCCCCCATACCTGTACCAGGTATGGGTCTGTCCCACATAAAAGATTCTCACAAAACGAGAGATTTCTCTTTTTAGGTATCTTTTATATGGTATACCCATACAAAAGGTATATAAACATGAAATATATATAGTAGAGATTTTGTTGCTTCTGGGAGTACTTACAAAAAATATAGTAGGGGATATATAGTCTAAAGGAGGTCTATTTTATTTACTATTAACATATTAGGAAGAAATATTGAGTATTCTCTAAGTAGTAGAACGTTGGTGTTTCTACATACATCTCTTTCATAAATATGGTCTTTACTTCTCTATATAAGATATCTGAAATTTCTTTTATTAGCCAATGAATTTAACTATAAATTTATCATTGATTTATACTCTTATTTCTCCTTTAACTAGCCAAAGGGTTGAGAATATAGTATTGGGCATATATACCTTTTGTATGGGTATACCATATAAAAATACCTAGAAGAGAAATCTCTCGTTGTGTGAGAATCTTTCGTTATGTGGGACAGACCCAGGTAAGACGGCTATCTTTCAGAGACCGGTGGCAATATATCTTTTTGTGTTGACGCTGGGTTCGGGGAGTTAGGGTCTGACTGCCGAGAGGATCCCGATGATCGGAACCACATTCCGGGCTCCTCCAATTCGGGGATTCTAGTGGGGAAAGCCCTAGGCTGCCCGAGACCGCGGAGTTAGGGAGAAATGCTATACTACTGTGCTCCCTTGCGTCCTATGACAAGTTGGCTCGAGTTTATAAATGTAGAGAACGCCAATGCCGCAGAGTGACAGATTATGGTAATGTATTTGCAAGTATGTGATAAGTAGGAAATCCAATTGTTCTGATGCCATTGGTAATATAGCAAAAGAGCACATTTTTCGTACGTAAATCCGTTCATGTAACAAAGTGATCTTCATGATTGGTAGCTGAGGGTAACCGTACCCGGGAAGACCAATCCCCCAGCTGAGCCCCTCGGCTTTCTAATTGAGAGCATTGAGGATCTCTACAACAGTACAACGATCACTTACTATCTGTTTATCAGTGCGGAGATCAGTATCAATGTCATCTTCTGGGGCACCAACAGGCAAAAGACAAAGGGTGAATTTGGCCTGTAGGTCATGTCGACAAAGGAAGTCACGGGTGAGTATTCCGCTAATCCTACCCTCGCTCAACTCCTTCCGCATACATTACATTCTACATGCCAATAAAAATTGGGATCAAATCATGAACTAAGAATTTTCCCCACGCAAAGTGTAGTGGCGACCGGCCCTGTATCTTATGCCAAGAGCTAGGTTTCGAGTGTGTTTTTCCCGAAGGTGGTACACCAAACAACTTGACGGTCGGGAAAAGGTATCTATCTGTTTGTTGTATTGTTCTTTGCAAATTTCTTTTTTATATTCATTACATTCCCGGTAGTGTAAACGCCAAAAGATCCTAACAACGTCTGCAGCTATATCTTACAGCTCGAAACCCGACTTGAAGTCATCGAAAAGTCCCTCCAACAATTACAAAAAACGCAAACACCCAGCATACAAGCTCCTAGAGATTGTCATATCCCCATGGGCGACACGTGTGTGACTGACAATTTACACCCTACACAAAGACTGCAGTCTGACGCCGACACACTTGAACCTTCCGGTCAGACTTTGGCTGAGTTTGGGGATATTGACAATTCCCAAAATTCGATAGATGGAATGGGCGCGATCAAATTCACAGATGAAAAAGATTGTGGGTTTTTTGGTATGCGCCTCGCTACATCACAATTCGAGTGTGAAACTGAAATCTTCAGGGCCTTCGTCTAATATCTCTTTTTTGCAATACATTTCTCAAGCGGTGGCAACAGCAAATTCTCAGGGCAGATCCATGTTTGCTACATCTCCACTAGAACAAAGGCGACGGGGCATAGTGAATGTTTCTAAGCCTGCGTTTTGTCCTGCCGGTTCTACTGACTTGAAATTAACCACCTTTATTCCAGGACGAGTGGACATGTACGCATTGCCATCAGAGGAACGCACTTGGGATTTGATCCAGCAATTTTTCCAGAAAACGGGGCAGCTTCTGCCATTCATCCACGAAAGCTCATTCTGTGAGACATATCTTCAGATGAAGAGAGAAAATTCCAAAGGGGTTCGCAGGACCTGGCTCGGCTTGCTCAACATCATACTCGCTATCTCAACGAGTTTGTCGGCGAAGGATAATATCCCGGCGGAAATCCGCATACAACAATCCGACATCTACTACCAAAGGGCCAATAGCCTTTGCGACAGAGAATCTAGACGCAATGCAAGCCTGGAGATGGGTACGTGGAAACCCCAAATCGTACGTTTAACAGCCAACGTGGATGTCCTAACATTTAGTCATAAAGTGCAATACCTGCTTATTCTAGGCCAGTATCTCCAAGGAACTCAGAAATCTGTTCAAGCATGGACGACACATGGTTTGGCCATCTCTGTTGCGTACCAGCTCGGGTTGCACTCGCCACATGCAAACCAAGGGTTCTCTTCTTTGGAGTGTGAGATTCGCAAACGAACTTGGTTTGGTTGTATACTTCTTGATCGGTGAGAAACTACTCTATAGTAATGGTGGATGTAAATTAACCGCGAGCTTCTTAGTTCCCTTAGTATGACTTTTGGACGTCCTTGCACTATTCCGGAGTCATACGTCAAATTGAAAATGCCTTCTGCTGACATGCAGATACTGGCTTCGACCACCGAGGCGAGGAATTCCTCTCAGTTGGACGGTCTTTTCTTCACAGCTGCCATGTAGGCCACGTCACCCTTTCTATCAGTGTTGTGTTTTCTGATGTTCGAGAAGACAGTTGTACAGCATTATGTTCAGCGTCTTGGATTCTTGTTATGGCCAAAACCTTGGGTTTGAGGCTCCTTTCAACGCTGCCGAGTCAACCTCGTGTCTCCTGAAATGCCAACTTCAGTTGAACAGCTGGCGTCTTCAATTGCTGCCATCATTGGGATTCCAAGTTTGGGATGGTCCGATGGAAGCGGATGACGTGGAGAAGATGGGGGAAGACTCTATACTGAAACACCGATTCAACATCGTTCTCTCTATGCGCTACAACAACCTCAAAATACTGCTTCATCGTCGCCGTCTAGAAAGTTTTATGGAAACCTCCTCAGCTGCTGAACCTATAACAAGTCAGGACATGAAACTACTTGGCCAGATGGATCTCGGTAGTGTTGAAAGCTGCATTCAGTCCGCCATATCCATCATTTCTACAGTACATAGCATCTTGACCTCCAACGCCTGGCGGCGCGAGCTTCTGGGCGCATGGAATTATTCCCTCTATTACAGTAAGTCACCATCTTGCCTCTGACTTAGGTTGCCCTCTTTGGCACAAGTCTCATTCTCACACGGTTTTCATGGTGATTTGTAGCATTTAATGCGGCACTGGTCATTTTTGGGTCACTTATTGTGGCTCTCAAAAAGCGCGAATATGATATGACACCATGGAATGTTGTTGGCCATTCTCGACCTTATACCGATCGAGCGATTGATGCGCTCCGCCGACTTGATTCTGGCAACCGCGTTGTCGGAAGTTGTGTGGAATACCTTTCCCATCTTTCGTTGGTCCTTAATGCTCTGGGTAAGTTGAAACTCTGCATACCTAGCTACGCACCCACTCTTGCCCTGACAACTTGACGTATTTTTTTTTGGATCTTACTTCTGTTCAGTTGGCTACGCGTTCTGTTTGCGTTGGAGAATCATAATGCTGACCGATTGCACCTTCATAGAAATGGACGATTCGGATTCCAACACCTGCTGGAATTCCAATTTTTCCACTGGATTTTCAGCCGATGTTTTCAGCTCGCAATATGGAGCGACGTCGGCTTCCATGGATTTGGGTGAATTTATGACAGGTCAGGATTGGGGGTTCCTCAGTACTCTCTTTAACCAGTCGCACAACGACACTACCAGTGCCCCTCAATAGAAGAATTCCAAATGTATCAGTTTTCAATTTATATTATGTTTATTCCTATGCTGGAAGCTGAATTAGCCATGGTAGCACCCTGGAAGTGTATCTTATATGCCCCTCCGGCTCTTCACCGAGGCTTTTGCAACTCTCTATAGATCAGATCATTCAAGTACGTACGTACTACTGGTCGGTGCCGGTCATCATCGCTTCGAACCTATTGAGCCCGTCAGACAGTTTAAAGGGTTTCAAGTTTATGAATCAAACGGCAGGGAGTTCCGAGTAGGTAACGGAAAGATTGCCGCATAAGGATTCGGTGGCATTCCAAATACTTTCAAGAGTCCTGAGAAAGACCGTATCCATCAGCGGGGCGTTCAAAAGCCGGAAGAGACAGCAAGATGGGTTTTCGGATGATGTTCCGACGGGGAGATACGGCTGGTCTCATACGGGAACCAAGAAGCTCAGGTGGATCAGCCCGTTGTTACGTCACATTCAACTTTGGCATTAACCAACAGAAAAGTTCTATGACACGATAAAAAGGCATCTGATTCGCAATTCACATTCGACTAAAATCCGTCTTGTCTGTCTTATCACGAAGAAAGCTCGCATCATGTCGACTCTCAGTCCACCTGCCACTACCATTTCGGATGCCGTTACCGTGTACGACCTTATTGTAGTTGGCTCTGGTTTCGCTGTAAGCTTGGCAAATAAGCGGATCGAGACGACATGGCTAATGATGATTCTCGTGATAATGCTTAGGGGTGTATGACTGCTCTCAACTTCCTCGAAGATACCAAGACCCAAGGAAAGGCAGCGAAACTCGTCTTGATCGAGGCCGGTAAAGATGGAGAACGATGTGGTGCCAGCAGGTAGAACCTTCCGAGTCCTAGTGATAATTGAGACGTAGGTGTGCTGACCAGATTCATTCAGATGGACACCGGCCTTCTTTCGGTTGGACAAGAGTGTGTTGCAAGATAATTGCAAATTGAAGTACAACCTACTAAAGACTGTGCAGATAACAAGTTTGATAGCGACTTCAAGGATGAGATGAAGGTAAGTGGCAGGCCAATGACTTTTATATTCCTTGCGACTCACTATTGTCTAGCTCGTCAGGTAAGCGTTCCCGTCAGCCCCAAGATCGCACTTTTTAATTGTGGCAGTAATGGACTTGCCGATCAGGCATACTGCGAGAAATTGGAAGCCGAAATTCCCAGTACAGTGAAGTTTCTTTTGGACCGTAAACAGATTCGGAAGCTTTCAATTTACTCGGACTGACACTGACATTATAAGGTAGACGGAATCATAGTCCAACATCAAGATGAAAGAAATGTCTACCTCGGATTTAATACCGGTAAGCCCTTTGAGAAATCAAATTTCAGGCTATGCCAAATGCTAAAGTACTTTTAGACCAGAACTTCGCCAAAGGAGACGTACGCATCCTCAAATGACTTTTATACCAGCCAATATCTAATTACTACAAATAGGGTGGCGGATATGCCATAATCCTCAAGCTTTTCGAGCACATACTGTCGTTCCCTCAGGTGGACATTATGTGGGAGACAAATGCGGAGGAACTCCTGACTCATGACGATGGTACCATTCGTGGTGTCAAGGTTCGAAAGAACGACGGCCGCTTTGCCAATGTGTGTGGTGAGCAAGTCATGCTATCATGTGGTGGCTTCGAGGGTAATCGCGAAATGTGAGTGTGATCAGGACTTATTCGATATGATATGAATCTAAAAGGTATGGAAGGCTGGGCCGATACGTCGGACCTAGAGCTGACCAACTTGGGTTGGTAGCCCCTGGTCTCAAGTATAATACGGGGTTTGGGCTCAAGATGGGCTTGCAAGTCGGTGCCGCAACGGCCGGCTCTTTCCATGGCCTGCACGTAAGTTACGCAAATGAAGATCTCATGGGTTTCACTAAGCCGTCGCAGTGTGAACTTGTTGATACTCGCTCCTCAAAGCCAGAGGCAACTGTCTGGGGCCATAGCTTCGGTATCGTCGTCAACGAGTATGCTCCAATCATTCAAATGAAATGAGGTCAAATGAAATGAGGGATAAAGGCTCACATTACCTTCTTTAGACACTCCAAGCGATTTTACGATGAAGGGAATCGATCGTATGTTCGGCGTCCAGCTTGTACTAGTATCAATCTGACAAATGCAGCCTCTTCGCTACTTGCGAAGTTATTGCTTATGAGACATGGCGCGGTAAGTAATGAGGTAGGTCGAAGGCGAATATGCACCGCTAACGTGTATCTCAGACCAAAACCAAAAAGCATATTTGTGAGTCAGACAAACCTATATTATAAACGGTATATGGCTAAAACGCCTCCAAGTGTTACCGATGCTCCCATTATGGACCGATTCCGACCTGGTTGGGTTTATGATACAACTGATCTAGACCCAGAGAAAGGCGACACGATCGAAGATCTCGCCGAAAAACTCGGCCTCGTTCCCCAAGAACTGAAGAAGACAGTGGATGAATATAATGCTTCGTAAGTCAGCTAGCAGGAATGTCAGAGTCTCACACTAATGGCTGGTGGCAGAATCAATGACAAAGAATTCAACCCTTTGGTTCTTGACGGCAAGAGCACCTTCGGCCTAACTCCTAACAAGACCAACTGGGCCGCACCGATCAAAGTGGCTCCTTTCTATGGGTAATGCTCCTCTCAAATCATATAATCCGCTTAGAGACCGCTGTTACTGATGGGTATTTAGCTATCCTCTGACTGCAAAGGTTGTATTCACTTTTGGAGGACTGAAGGTCGATCTTGAGTCCCGTGTGCTCTCCACGACGGGTACCCCAATTCCAGGTATGATTCCTAATATTCCCTTATCACAGCAAAATCCATCAGACCTTCGCACAAACACGCTCAACTTACATTTTGCGATAATTTCCTCACTGACACGTCACGTCGTATTAAGGACTTTACTGCGCTGGTGAACTTAGCGGGTTTTATTACAATGAGGTAAGCCCAACCTAATGTTCCGTTATTGAAGCAAAATAATACTGACAAACTAACAGAGTAAGGTTGCCTCCGAATTTGGAATCCGAAGTCAATCGCCAACGATGTGTTCTTTCTATGTACTGACTATGCGCCTTAGATCCACCATGCAACAGTGCGCTCCGATGTCTTACATTCGGTCGACTTGCGGGCAAAACTGCCGCCAGGGCTCTGTAAGATCAGGAAATTCGCGCCAAGACATTGCCCAGCCTCGTGTGATGAAATATTTTTTACTTAGCTGGATTTCATTGTGTAATGCAAAGCCAATCAAGCATATGGAGCCTCGTCGAGCCATAAATGTAGCGTATATCTCCCATAATATCCTGGCCCTGTCCTCTATCTAATGCGAGTCCGATTTCAGTCGATGTTTCATAAAGAGTTGTATCAACGGGTAATTCGTATATTCACTCTCTTCTTCCATCTGATGAAAACTTATATTAATCTGCCTCAACATGACAATTATGGGCAATCAAAAATTGACGATACGTGTTATACAGCCTAGCCTTAGAGCTTTTTGGTCAGATGGATGCAAACCCATGAAATAATAGGTAGGGCCCAGCACGAGAATCGAAAAATTGTGGATATTCTCAACAGACTGCAATGCTCTTTACATCTCTTTCTCTTACTATCGATACTAAGGACCTACCCTCGTCTAGGTTCAAAAGGTTGCAGTCTATATGGATTAAGTATACTGCAACCAAAGACGTCTCTTACTGTTTCGGAATCCCGAAAGCAACTTCCAGCCGTGAGTGAGCCGATAATATATCGAAAACCCAAGCTCCATCAATGAGTATGCCTAAAGTAAAGCAGAAGGCTTTGGTGACTGCGGGAAACACAAGAGGGCATCTTGTCATGTGGCGATGCAATGAAACCGGCATTTGCAATTATCCAAAGCGCATTGGAAGATTTAGTATATAAACGAAGCCACCAAAATGATCTTGGCGTAATCAAGACGTATAAAACTACTTTACTCATGAGCAAACGACACTGACTTTGTCTGCTTCGAATTGAATAGCACTCAAATCAGCAGACATGCGTCCGTATCTGTAGGGTGTAAAGTTTAGTTGGAACGCATAGTTTAGGTGGCAATGCATCTTTTAGATCCAGTCAACAATAGTACCATTTCTTTTGATCTATGTACAAGCTTCTCATGTTCAGCGTGTTGATTCTCGTGTTCAATAAATACATGGGGTGATCGGTAAACTTTCCTGTCGTCCATTAGACGATGGGTAATTTTTTCCAATAGAAAAGTCAGAATTGAAGACAGTGAATATACACCGTAGGCAGGAGGCGAACGAAGGAAACGTGCAAATAAAAGGGCAAACCATGACTCAGAAGGTAATGAAAAGAGCAATATCGAGACTCAAGCTTGTAATTTTTTTCAGCCTGATAAATTCGCGTCATCCAAAGTAGCAATTGATTGATTGTGATCACGACATCAGTGTCGACTTGCTGATATCTTCTGACAAGCTCTGACTTGTTACTCTTTTTTCCACCCGCTCCATCGTTCAAAATTCCCCGCATCGAGGTTAAACATATCTAGCATTCGCCCCACACTCTGATTGACCAGATCCTCAACCGACGAAGGTCTGATGTAAAATGCTGGCACAGGTGGAAAGATTATGGCACCACTCCGTGACGCAGACAACATATTTCGCAGATGAATGTCGCTCAATGGTGTTTCTCTGGTCACAAGGACCAACTTTCGCCTCTCTTTCAGCGTCACATCTGCGGTGCGTGAAATCAAATCATCGCAGAACCCGGAACTTATGGCTGCAAGCGTCTTCATACTGCAAGGCAAGATGATCATTCCATCTGTGTGAAATGACCCACTGGATATAGGAGCTGCCATATCACTGATATTGTAGACGTGATCGGCGAGAGCCTTGACGTTGGAAGGATGGTAGTCTGTTTCGTATTTGATGGTTGATTCGGCCCATTTGGACATTATCAGGTGGGTTTCGACGTGAAGATGGCGAAGGGCAACGAGTAAATTGATTCCCAGTATTGTTCCGGTAGCGCCTGTGATTGCCACCACGATCTTCTTGCGTGGCTCACCTGCTTGGGGCTGACTGGCGGGCATTGTTGGAAGAGTCTTAGGAGAGCACCCCAAGTTCCTAAAGAGCATGGAACAATATCCTGTGTTGGTGTTGGCCGTTATGGAAGCGATGGCCAAGTGTCGAAGAGGTGCCTTTTATTTAAATATGCCACCCCTCTACCTTCGTTAATCTATCGTAGCCATAAAAGTCATTTATCTTGCTTAAAATCATTGTGGTGGTTGTCTTTGGCTTGGCAATTGCTGCCCGGGTGTAGATCGGATCCTTTCGTAACGTATCTCCTGATGGACAAATCGCATTCGAGGATCGAATCTACGGCTAGTGGAGATCTTCGGCCTGCCGGACCTGTCGGAGGGGAGTGACAATCAGAAGCCTACGGATAGATCGGCCGGGGAGATAGGATAGGCTTCTCGGGTGCACAAGAGGGTCATAGTGCGGCATCTTCGATGACGAGAATAGGTATGATCAGCATCCCGCGGCTACCACATTCCTATCTCCCCGGTCATAGTTTACGCTAAACATCCATACATACTAAATCGCATGACTGAGACAACTAATATATTTACCAGGACTTGAGCAGACAAGGACGAATCCAACACGAATTCAATTGACTCGACTTCTTGAGATCATCTACCTTTGCATCAACTTCACCGCGCAAAACATTTGCTCAAGTTATCGCCCTCTCTGTTATTCCTGAAACCCAAGCATCGAAACATGTCTACAAGAAAGCTCTCTGCCGCAACATCCTTGCGCACATTCCTTGAAGAATCTAAGGCCGAGGGAGATCTTGTGGAAATTGATCTGGAGGTGGATCCCCATCTCGAGTCCGGTGCCATCTCTCGCCGTGCATACGAAACGGGTAGCCCAATGCCCCTTATCAACAACCCCAAGGGTAAAGATGGCCCAGATGGTCTCTTCCGTATTCTCGGTGCTCCAGTGGGTGTCCGAAGCGATCCCGAAACTCGCAATGCCCGTTTGGCGAAGTCTATCGGGCTGCCTTCCAACGCAACTGGACATGATATCATCCAGAAGCTCCTAGCCGCCAAAAGAGCCGACCCGATTCCATCTGTTCAAGTGAAAGACGCACCACTCAAGGAGCACAAGATATTCGGCGATGAAATCGACCTTCTCAAGATGCCGGTTCCACAAAATCACGTACACGACGGAGGAAGATATTTCCTCACATACGGACTACACAGTGTTCAAACTCCGGATGGGAAATGGGTGAATTGGGCTATCACTCGCTGCATGGTGATCGGCAAACGGCAATTGACCGGCCTTGTGGATGTGAAGCAGGACATTGGCGCCATCTGGGCGATGTGGAAGGCCCTGGGAAAGGACACACCTTGGGCCTGCGCTCTTGGTGTTCCGCCAGCAGCTGTAAGCTCTTACCTATTCTTTTTGATATTCTGTGCCAGCATCCTACGCTATTTTCCAGAACGCTAATATCCGAAAACCCTTCAGGCCGTGGCTAGTGGTATGCCACTTCCCAAGTTCGTGAACGAGCCGGATTATGTTGGTACTCTCACAGGAGTTCCTGTGGAGGTTATTAAGTGTGAAACAAATGATCTTGTAGTGCCGGCACAGTCTGAGCTGGTTCTTGAAGGAGTTATCTCGGCAACCGAGACCGCGATGGAAGGCCCCATGGGAGAGTATCACGGTCTTCTTTTCCCACCCAAGAAATCGCCACAGCCGGTAATGACGGTCAATGCAATTACCTACCGAACCAACCCTATAGTGCCGATCAGTGTCGCAGGCCGTGCTCCAGACGAAACCCATACCGTTTGGGCCCTGTCCATCTGCGCTGAAATTCTCGACTTGTTGCAGCAGGCAAACCTACCAATCACCAAGGCCTGGTGCCCATACGAGTCCCAAGCCATCTGGTACGTCGTCCAGGTCGATCGGAAGAGGCTTGTAGAGATGAAGACCGCGCCTGAGAAATTCTGCCGCCAAGTTGGGGAGATCGTTTTCTCCTCCAAGCCTGGTAGATTCGTGCCAAAGATCTTTGTTGTTGGCGACAATGTCGATCCTAGTAACTTGCGTGACGTCGTGTGGGCTGAAGCGACCAAGTCTCAGCCACAGGCCAGTGACTTCTACTTCGTGGGCAACTATCCGACCTATGATCTAGTGCCATACGCCACTCACGGCTTCAACCCTCGTGGGCAAAAAGCCAAGGTCGTCAGGCTGTGCATGTTGCCTGAGGAGTTCGAGACCTTGGACCGGCCATGGGTTGAAGCTTCCTTCCGTGGATCTTATCCCGAAGAGGTCAAGACCAAGGTCCTAGAAAACTGGCAGGCGTACGGGTTTGAGGGATCTCCTGTGAACTTTTAAAAGTCTTATTACCAGGGACTTTCAACTGTGCTATCTGGTCTTTACGTTCCTGGACGCCCTAACCTTTGCTTGGGAATTGAAACGGACACACCCAACTTTCTCGAACGAAGTAGGAGATGGTGTTTTACCACTCACAGGGTTCTTTGCCGGCAAGGGTGAAGGGGAATATTGATCTGTTCCAATCATTCAACATTCACGGCCCCGCTGCTAATGTTCTGATTCTCAATGCATCAACTGCCGAATCAGCTCGAAGGAGCCTCTTTGTTTTGCGACTGTATCAAAATCATATAGAAATACATACACGAATCAAATACCTACTTTTCGATTCCCTCAATGGTTTATTTATATCCCAGAAGCCTCAGGATCCATTCTCTCTTTCTTTCTCGGACTGTATGGATTGGTCAACGGGCCAAGCTCGGTATACTCAGTATCGTCATACATTCAAAACGATTTCCAAGTGACGCGTCACAAAGCACACGCAAAACCTATCTATAATCGTCTAGAGTGAGCCGGCGCTGTCACCAAGACTCTGGTGGCCTTTGACCTGCACGATGGAGTTCTAAACAGTCCAGGACTGCTTGAGCACTTCTCGACAATTGCGTCTCTTTCGTGGGCGGCATGAGGGGAGGGTCCAGGGAACTTCCAGGTGGAGTAATTTTATCCATGAGGTATGAATCAGACGGCGTCCTTGGGATATGGGTTGTTTACCTATGCTCCAGAGAAGGGGCTCGGGAGTCAGCTTATGTGTCACGTGCTGGTCGACCAATCTCGGGTGCCAGTCAGGACCCAGGTTGACCCAGGTTGACCCAGGTTGACCCAGGTTTTGGCTGAATCGTTCATAAACATGCAACGTCAGCAGAAATCAGCAGAATTATGCACATAATTAGTGTGTTTGCATTGTTTGCATTGCTTGTAACCCAGTTTGGGGCCCCAGACTGGGTTGGGTGCGGGTTTTACCGGACCGTGCGGAAGTCTATTTGGGGCCCACCTAGGCGTTAAGTACGAACCCTAGTTTTTCAATTTTTGAGTATTTCTCTTATCTACTTAAACATAAAGCACAAAATGTAGTAACACTATAGCAAGGGCAATGCATATATTTAATCTTTTCAATCAACGGCCCAATTCCAGGCGTTGTTGGCTCAATGTTCAACGGGGACCGGCAGCTCAAGCTGTAGATATCCGTCATTTTGAGTTCAAAGGGGAAAAAAAGAAAGGAAACACTGGACATTACTCGAATGGTCGCACTAAATGTATAAGGATATGAGTGGTGCAGAGGAGTGAATGGTTAGACACGAGGAATCCTACTAGAAATGGGATCCTCACTTTTCAGCATCTAAGTTTGGCAGGCAATGCCGAAAATGTTAAGCATCGTATGGGACTAGATCATCTGATAAGAGTATCGGAAACAACGGCTAGAATTACATCTAATTATCAGAATGGAGGGAGTTTATTCCAGTTTATTCCGAATCTATATAAGATATCAAACTTACTACACCTTCTCACCAAAGAATTTCTCCACCCACAATCACGTTATTTATCTCTCACTCACTTTATTCATCTCTCACTGTCTCTCATCTATCTTCTCCTTGCCAATCACAAATCCTAGGCAAGCAACAGAGTTCTTCTCTGTTGATCGTCTATCTCATGTTGCTTCCATGACTCGTTTCTACCGGTACTATTCAAGTTCAAGCAAGCATGACATTTCCTACGTCTATGACTTTCCTCCCCGACTTGCCGACATCACTTACCTCATCATCATCTCACCCACCCTCGCCATCTAAAATCGCTGTGAGGGTAAATCCAAACAAAGTGGCTGTACGTGCCTTGAGGGCTGCCCTGGAAATGGTAGTCAAAGCGAGAAGAAACCAGTATACCCACATCACGACTGATTGCTATCTACTAGCACGATGACGATATCTATGCCGAGCAAGTGCGCAAACCATTTGCAATTGTAAGTCTCCCTCGCACTCTTTCCAGCAGTCCTTTGAAGGTATTATTTTGCTAACGTGGTATGGGCTATCTAAGATGTCTTTCGTATATGCTGCGCCCTCCGATTGCCCTGCCTGCGCGGGGGCGGTTGAGCCGTTGTTTCGGGTACGTCCTTACGTTGCTGAGCGCACCAGTGGCGTATTGCGATCTCGACTGTCTGGTTTGTCCTTTCAGATTGGCCATCTGCCTGCGGGTGGTACGCTGTCGTGAAAAAAAGTGCCACTTCTAGCAACATAAATATTCCGTTCCACAAGCCACCAACAAACTTTGGATCTCTGTCGGAAATGATGACACTAGGGAATCCCCAGTCCGCTGTCCACCAGAAAGTCAACACAGATTGTGCCCAATCGTTTCCACGCCACGTGGTTTTACCAGGGACCAGGCCGGTTTGTTTTGTATATTTGTCGGTCATGGTCAGGGCTGCGTCGTTTCCCTTGGATGATTCTGGTAAGCTAGTGATAAATCCATTGTTATCGTATGGTATGGGATTGGTGGGCTTAAAATGGGTTGTAGTAAGCCATATGGTCGATGCCGTGGGATACGGTTTTCAAGGCAAGTGACGCATTTGGCAATGTACTTTTTCAACAACTTTGCGCCTTTATAAAAACAGATGCCTTGCCATTCATCCAGTCAATCCTAAACTCTTCCGAAAATGCCTCCACAGGCTACAGCCCCCACGAGTTGATGTACGGCGTCAAGTTACGCCAGCCAACTTCCATGCTACACCAAGCTTTAGCCACCGAACAAGATTTCACAACCAGGCTAGACGCCGAGCGCAGTCTGGCTTACGCAGCCATGGCCATGAAGCACTACTACGATAAGACGCATTTGCACAAGTGGTTTGACGTTGGTCAATACGTTTACCTCCGCCTTGGTCACGGATACGACATCCAAGCCAACCAGAACCTTCCGACCTGTCCGCCCTCATACATTTCTATGCGGCCTTTATTTGGCATATCTGGGCCTCCTGATAGCCTGGAGCTTGGACAAGTACGCATGGACTACTTGTCCAAGCGCCTGATCAACCGGTATGCCTCATATTTACATGACTACACTCAGCATGAGAAGAATCCCTATGGGGGGAAGAAGCGTGGCAAGACGTAGAAGGCAAGTCCACTGTATTCTCTGCGTGTACTTAAATCCAGATCTACCCTTATGTTTGCTGGAAGTGCTAACAACTCTTGCTACAGACTGGAACAAGATTTTCGTTTTTTATGATGATACGCGGGCTCTCTTTATATTTATAGAGAGCAGGGTCTGAAAAGAATACAACAACACGCACCTTACTACCTACCTGTCAGAGCACTTTTTGCTTCTGTAAACTTCTCCATCAACATCAACGCTGTGCACAACCAAAGTCACAACCAAAGTCGAACTGGCGGCTGTGCCCCTCGCTTCTCAATGAACCCGATTATCTTGCCGTTCAAGATTATACCTACTTCTGAGATTCCTACCACAAAGAAAAAACATGGAAGTGGTGCAAGACTTTGAAAAAAGTGATCGAAAGGATACCGGCAAGGGTTCAAGTGAAGATGACGATTACATTCGAGCCTGGCAGGTGCGTTCGTACGAATGACATGGGAAGAGCTTTCTCGATTACTCTCAACTATCGATATGGAACCACTTCTTGCTGTTATCGAACCTTCGCTACTCGACGCCAGCTCCCAAGTTCTCACGAGAGAAAATCTCCCATTTCGGGACAAAGGCTAAAACACAGAATGACCTTGCGATAGTTGCTCTCCTACTCGACCCGAAATGGCCAACGGTCATCATTGAATCGGGATGGTCTGAAGCACCGACTAAATTGAAGCAAGATATTTTGTTCTGGCTCGGCGAATCAGGCCAGCAAGCCAATGTTGCACTGAAAATAAGAGTTCCTCCGAGGGGGACTGTCACAATCGAGCGACGGGCACTCAATAAAACTTATGTTAAGCCAATCTAACAGGATAGACTACATTTGCCAACGCGATCGAGAACTCCCAAGGACCTATAACCCAACTCTTCTATAAACTTAACCATAAGTGGGAGACGGGAAACGACCTTAATATCGCTACAAACTCGTCCGAGGGCGCCCAGGAAGCCAGAGCCCCTTGAACGAGAGTAATACCCCGGCACCCAGGGTACTGCTACTATTTTTTTCTATCAACTGGGTTAATGGCGTTCCCGAACGCCTATACCCTCTTTCGCTAGGAAGCCAGCGGGAGAAGCCTCCCGGAAGCCAGGAGCGCTGGTAGATTCCCCTTCCCTTCATGATAAGAATCCCCCTTTATTTCTCCTTATCCTTTTTGTATGGCAGCGACACGCCGACCGGGGCGGTCGGATTTAAGGCGGTACACGTGACCCCATAGCTAGTCTTTACCCACTGCCATACATAGATAATACATCATCATTCTTCCCCCTGAGCTACCAGTGTACCAGATGCAGATTACTCGAGTGAAGGCCGTTGCCCGAGATGCCAATTCTCGTGCTGAAGAACTTGCGCTGGAACTGAGAGACAGTAACCAGCGAGTCTCCGAGGCCGAGGGGCGAGTTCCCAAAGAGGAACAGCGAGACAGATTTCATTCTGCCGCACAACGGCATGAATGAGATTGGAGAAGCTGTCTGGGATTGCATACTCGAGTAACCTGTTTCGACGATACAATGCCAGTATGCCACGTACAGCCAAAACAACCATCCCTCATATGGCGGTCATTAGCCACCGCGGCAAGGAATCTTTCACATCGCCATCATGGGCTTTCGCAACTCCGTCGCATACGTGCAGCGCCAGATGGATCTCATCCTGAAGGAACTATTCAATGGTTTTAACCATCGTTACCGCCGCCTCTAGGAAGGAGCGGTAGAGGGTATCTCCAGGAAGCTAGGAGGTTCTTAACGAGAGTAGCATTCCCGGTAGCCAGGAATGCTAATTGACCGTTTCTATTTTTTGAAGTCATCATTATGTTTTCCCCGTTTCTCTTCATGACAGCAACGCACCGACCGGGGCGGCCGGATTTTCGGCGGTGGCAGTTGTTACCCTCTCGGCGGGTCCCGCTGCTGTACATAGATAATACATCATATTCCTTCCCCTGAGCTACTGGTGTAACAAAAATATGTAGGTTCCCGTTGACGCTAGGAAGAAAATGTCAGCTTAACGGCACACTAGTTAGCTAATGACAGGCCACTTACTTTTTCATGATGATAATACTGCTGCTGCTTTCGATGTTTTGCGGGTGCCTCGATACGCCTTGGGGGAAGAAATCGGCGAATCGGATCGTTGGGAGTCGTTACTACGAAATATCAACTTCATTCATTAGTTTTCCCTCACCGGATAAGGATTAGGGCAAGGAAGGTCCAATACCTACACATTACATATCCATACATCCATACATACACAATACATCCATGCGGGCCGTACCGACCAGGCGGAACTCTAATGTAGGCACCCGTTGGTCCCGAGGTCATGGGATATCAACCAGCTGCACGTTGAACGCCTCTATCACCTCGGCTGGCTCAATATAGCCAAAACGGGTGGTCCCGGCGCGAAAGAATTGGTCTCCGAGGGACCCGACTCTCCCCGCTCTGTCGCCGTTGGTCCTGGTCCTCGCCCGGTGGCCATCTGCTTCCGCACGACCCAGACCCAGCCTAGGTACTCCATAGATTCGATTTGTTATCTGTGATATTGATCAAATCATCAATTCGAGATAGATAGTGCCACTTTTGGTTAGGACGGTCATAATGTTACCTGCACCTCATTCAATATGTATTTTAATTTTAACTATACATATTTATGCCCTTAATGCATTCAGTATACTAATGTGCTAGTTATTTCTATGCCCGTTGTCTGCCGTAAATATCCGTCCCCCGTGGGTCAAGTCGGTCCTCCTGATCCCATTAGGAATAGTTGGCCTTGATGTCATGGGCCCCCGCATAACCCCGCAACGTTGAACTTGCGCCCTTCGCCCTTCCCTAAATATAACTGCGGCAATGGGTTACGGTTGCAGTCTCCACCTCATTCTGGATCGTTTGATGCGAAAGGAGTCTAAGCTAATAGTATATTTAATAGAAGCAGAGAGCAGAATCAGCCAGAGATGCTAAATGTGACCTGTAACAGACGGGAAGGTCTATGGCACTAGTGAAATATAAACCAGTTATTAAGCTTCCTTGAGTGCCCAGGTGGAGACATGTCTATTTTTACCCTTGTAAGGCTAATTTGAATTGACACGGGCGGGGATATAACGGGGATTTTCTGTCTGTTAGCGTTTCTCGGCATCCTTGGCTGAGAAGCTTAACACATTCTCAATATACCGTGTCTGATTTGTCTCGTACTCGTGATATTCCCTCCCGCTTGTGCAACATATTTGATTTTTGTGACGTATTCGCACACCACCTTGGCAAACCGAGCAGCCTGGATTCTACATGCACTGCTAAGAACCCGTCTTTACTCACACATAGCGGGCCGAGGATTGGCCCAAGTAAGCCTGCGACGCCCCGGGGCCGGCGGGACTTTTGTACTGACCAGCACAATCCACAACTTTTAGTCTCAAGCCTTCTGCAACGACCTGGACTTATTGCTTGTCGGTAAATCCCGCTTCCGGCTTCGGTACTGCGACCTGCAGCAAGCGACGATTCAGGGACTTCTGCCATTCTGGCTATTTTTAAATTCCCAAGGGGATGAATTACCTCCAAAACCTGTACTTCAGTGAGGGGTGATTCTACACTAAAGTCTCCCTATCCCTAATCCATCGCGCTTTCCGTGCCCGTCCCGTATCCCCGCCTATGACTGTCCATATCCCCTCACAGAGAATAATGTCTCATATCAGGTTCTGCAGAGCCGATATTCCGATGCCTTGCCTCGTTTAGCGTCGCCATGAGGGGAACCCCTCAGCGAATATTTGGAGAAACCCCCCACCTGATTAGAGCGAAGGGATGGTGCAATACGGAAGCCTCTGATTGATAATGTTGAACTTTTGTTGACCAATCTCAAGCGTAGACATATAAAAGGCGGCTGGGACGTGATAGTAGACCGTTTTTAATTCTGGTTCAACCTACTTTCTTCTCAGTTCTCCCCGAGTGTCTTCGAAACGTCAATATGAAGTTCCAACTCTTGGTTACTCTGCTTCCTGCGGTGTTACCCTTGGTGCATGGTATCCCTGCTCGCAGGGATACCCCCAACCCGGGTTTGCGAGGAAGCGATTCGCTAGTTGGATATTCGTCATCGAATAAGGGTGGCAGCGACTCGCCACCTGACATCAAGTATACTCTTGTTCCTGGACAGACGGAAGATCCCAATATTGGGCCGTACCTCGATTTCGAGAAAGCCGATAATCCGCAGCCGATCCGTGGTTCCGCGGGGGCTGATGATCCCGGTCCGAGTATGCAATACTATTCTGATTGGATACATGTACTGAATATACTGACATTTTTTTGTAGGGAACTATTACTATGACAGAATCAATAGTGATAAGCTTGCACCGCCCGGAACTGACCATGGACAGACGATTAATGCGCAGTGGCCAATGGGTAAGTCTGGTTTGCGCGGAGAAATGTACAATTTGCTAACTGTATGCTAGGATTGAGCCACAACAGGTAATCTTCATCCCCGAACGAGAACACCGCAGATACTCATATTTTCTTAAGGCTTGGATCAGATGGAGCTGGTTGGGCTCGCCAAGAGAACATAAATGTGATGCCGGATGCGACGCTCATGGCCGGTGTCGATATGCGCCTGGCACCTGCCGGTTACCGTGAACTTCACTGGCATGTGGCCGCCGAATGGTCGTTGGTGTTGAATGGATCGTGTCGAATCCAGGTACTTGCTCATCTCGAAGTGATTAAATAAGTACTAACCAGCCAGGCTGTGAACGAGAATGGGGAGACATTTATCGACGACCTTACTGCTGGCGATGTGTGGTTCTTCCCACCGTGAGTATTGTAATGTGCACAGATAATGCTTTATACTAATTATTTATCAGTGGTATTCCTCATTCTATTCAAGCCCTAGACGATGGAGTCGAGTTCCTTCTGGTATTCGACGACGGTGGCTTCAACGAGGATAATACATTCCTCGCAACAGAAGTCTTCCTCCACACCCCGGTAAACAAAAGCAAATCTCACACCAAAGAAATCCAATTGCTAACCCATACACAGCGAGAGGTCCTCTCAAAGAACTTCGGAGTTGACGTATCAGCCTTTGACAAGCTCCCCGCCGACGAATTATACATATTCAAAGGCACGCCCGCCCCAGCAGACATCGAGAAACAAAACGTGACAACAACAGCTGGCATCATACCCCGCGCTCAGAGCTACTCATACCATTTCTCCGAGCAGCCAGCCCACGAAGTCGCCGGGGGTTCAGTCAAGATCGTCGACCCGCTCACCTTCCCAATCGCCAGCAACTTCTCCGCGGCCGTCGTCACCGTCCATCCAGGCGGCATGCGCGAAATCCACTGGCATCCGACTAGCGACGAATGGACGTTTTTCATTTCGGGCCAGGGCCGCGCGACGCTTTTCACGGCCCCGAATGCTGCGACTACATTCGATTATGCCGGTGGTGATGTTGGGTACTTCCCGAAGTCTAATAGTCATTATATTGAGAATACTGGTGATGAAGACTTGGTTTTTGTGGAGGTGCTTCAGGCGCCTCAGTTTACAGGTATTTTTCCCTTGATATATGTTTGGGGTTTGTGTACTAACAATAGTAGATATGGCTCTTGGTCAGTGGATCGCGTCTACGCCGAAACAAATCGTTGCGGATACGCTCAACCTCAGTGAGGATGTGCTTAGCAGCATTAAGACTGAGAAGCAATATGTTGTCGCTGGTCCTAGCAGTTAGATTGCACACAAGTGGGCTGTTTATAATCCACAATATTGGTAATTTTCTTGGTAACTTAACAAACCTTTACTAGAGATGCTTTATAGCAGGCCACCAATTCTCTACAGTAATGCCCAAGGCTTCCGTACCCTTGGATAAGCAGCGAGATGAGCTATCACAATCCACATATATTCTTCGTCGTTGAACAAACCTCTAGCAGAAAGCAGACCAGCGCGTCATGGTGAATAACAGAAAGAAACGCCTATAACCCATCGAGACAAGCTCCTTCTTCTCCGCCTTATGCTAAGGCCTGTAAGGTGGGGGTAGATCAAGGCCATAATCATCCGGACTATCCCCACTGGTATGTGGGTCATTATGGTAGCCAGGAGGAATAGTCTCTCGATTGTGACTCTTGGGATCCAATCCCGGAATAGTAGACCCAAGCACAGATGCAGATTGCTAAGAATGGTCAGTTGATGCAGCTCCTTGCTCGATGGAATTAACTTACCCCGGCCCCTGAGTCTGACCCATGATTTCTAATAACAATAGGATCATGATCCCCAGTCTTCCCAACCAATTCATTCCGCTTCCAAATACCATATTTAAGAACCAGTCCCTGAAAGTCCGACCGCTCGATAACGCACTCCGCGACAACGCAGTTTGTCAAGGTAGCTCGCTCGATTTGACTGCTCGAGACCGTCGTGCTGGTTACTACACTCCGCTTCACCGCGCTCTGGTCTTGAATGACCGACTGTCCGATTGTGGATCGGTGCACCGAGCTTTGACTTTGTATAATGCTGTTTGTAATATCGCTGCGCTCGACCGAGGCCGCGTCGTGGAACTGCGATTTTTGACCCGTGCTCCGGCTCACGTCTTCCGTCTTTGAGAGTACACAGTCGCTTAATGTGGATCGGTTCACGCAGGAATTGGTGATCGTGCAGTTGCTGAGAATGCATCGAGTTATGGTGTTGCCGTCCCCGCTCGGTGCGCTGGCTTGGGCTTTGTCGCTGTCCATGATAGCGCTCGGGATGAAAGTATTTGGTAAATGAACGAGATATGAGTAACTCCCTGGATATATATGTTTCTCAGAGCAATTTATCCTGTCGAGAAATGTTTTGGGGAAATCTGGAAATTTTGCGAGGTTGACATCGGGCGATCCGAGGCTGAACAAAGAAAGCTGCTGCCTACAGTTTTCCAGTTTGTAACTTATATCAGATATCCTATGTTGTATATAGAGTATCATCTACCAGGAGGGCTACATCTGCGGAAAATATATATCAACATGATTAAAACATTGACTACACCCTTCAGTGGCAATAGTTGATTTTTCATGTCCACAAGGTCCTGATGTATATATCATGTTCATGTACCTTTTAAATATACCTAATTCCGAGAATTCCTGTTTAGTATGCATAGACCCAGCATCCGCATGGCCAATTATCGTTCTCAGGCATGGTAGTTGGACCGTGATGAGAGACAATAGAAAACTCCACCCCCAATTCCCGCAACGCTTCAATACCATCCTCCCAGTCCTCCGTGCTCTCTTTCTGGCCCTCGCCATAGAACCTCCTGTATATAACCGTCCGCAGATTTGGAAGCTCCCCGGCCTCCACCCGTTCACCAATGCTATCGAAGAAGGTACCTTTTCGGTCGAATTCATTTAATATGAGAGTCTCCAGACTGGCAGGAAGACACTCATCAAGATCGGATGCACCAAATTCATCACATGGGTTTCTTTCGTGGTACGCATACGTCTCTACGGGGATTGTGAGCTGTTTCAAACAGTACAAGCGGTCGAAAGCCGGCTTGTTTTCTGTATCCATCATGTCGAAATCAAGATACTCCACATCAGACGAGTCGCTCCGTTGTATTGCTGCAATGTACTCGGATCGAAAGCCCTCTCTCTCGAATGCCCCGCTCGGCTGCGACCATCCGCCTCTCATGGTGATGTGGGTAAGGCCCGTAGGGAAGGCGAGGATCTGTCCAAATGTAGATGGTTCAATTTGACAGCTAACCAACGCCAGGTCTTTGAGAGCTGTCTTCTTAGGAGGAAATAATTTCCCAAAGCTTCCTGGGCGCAAGGAGCCTATTATAGCGCCTTGGATGTGGAGCTTCTCAAGTCGTTCCATGTAGAAAACAATCTCGTTTTGACCAAGGCCCCACCCATCTGACCAAGAAGTACTCTTGTAGGCCCCGAGATATACTAGAGAAAATTAGCCTTTTGCTTACTCCATTGAGTCAGATTCAGTGATTTACACGACCGTAGCCCCTGTCCCACGTATCGACCGGGGGCCTCAATCTCAGCATGATCCTTGTTTTGCATCAGGAAAACGAGTAGCGTGCGGTTGATTTTGGACGGCACGCTGCGCAAGGTCAGGCCTTCCAGGTTTTGCATTTCAGTGATGGCATCAATGAGAGGATAATAGATTTGATCGATCTGGGCATCATGAAAGTGTTCCTAGAAGTCCAAGACAAGAGAAGATAACCAAGAGCTTTGCTCCAAAGTCCTCGCAAGCTGCTCACAGTTGATCGGATTCGTCAAACAGATCGAAGTGTAGAGTAATGGCGTTGTGAGAACCTGGAATTTGCGACAAGTCAACGCAAGACTGTAAAGAGAAGATGGTGATCGTTGAAGGTGCTGAAATATCATCTCCAGCAGTTCAACAGGAAGATTTAGTAAAATGGAGTCTTGGACAGTCATGGTCGGTAGATTGTGACAAGAGAGAAAAGATGCGGAAGAAGTATTGATTGTCTATAAATGAGCAGAAGCTACCTAGTGAAGAGGGAACCCTGCAACGAAGGCAGCAGGGGTACCGACAGCGAAGACAGGGTAAAAGCAAAGTCGTTCACTGAGGAGAACACCGGGATGACTAGGTACTGGTGGGGTGTTTTATACCCATGGAGCATGGAGGATCACATGGCCACTTAGTCATCCTGCTCTGGAATGCCGCGGGGGGGGGGGGGGGGGGGGCACTACAGTACTTAGTATGTAGTCGGAAATCAGACCAGGAACTGGTTAACATGAGTGAAATAACAGAGTATCTGAGGAAACAAGCGGATATCTTATGCCGAGCTCACTGACTTCCCTAAAGCGGCCGACTTGCACCGACAGCTAGCACAGCTATGGCCATCGAAGTCCTATACCCCGATGTTGTTGTACTCCAACTAGATGCGCAAGTAGATACCAAGCTTTGGCCGACATCGAAAAGTCTACAAATATCACAGGTATCATTCAAGAGTAAAAATTGCTATTATGTAAATATAAGTCGAAAGGGACTTCATCCCCCGGAAAAGAATGTACATCTTTAGTGGTTAAGCAAACGTATCAGGTCTGCTGTAAAGCCATAAAGCCATTTATATACCTGAGCAGTTCCAACAGACTGGACCTATTCCTTCAGATCCGCACATCCGAGGGCGAGGGTGCCACCCTAAAACCAGTTAGTTATGGACTCTCCGCAGATGAGTCTGCAATGTAGATTATCACTTACCAGGAGGTTAGCCTCGGTGCAGCACTGGGGCTTGGTATCACAGCTGGATGCCTCGTACCCGTGGCCTGTGAGAAATGTTAGAAGATATCCCAATTCCATCTACTAAAGATAACAAGACAATCCAAACATACAGAGAAGACCAATGGATCCAACGATGTTGGCAGCATCAATGCCAAGAGCCAGCAAGAGCGGGTCGACAAGGGGGTCGAGAGGAGTGGTGAGAGTTCCACAGCAGAGGAGGGGACCGACACATTCCGAAGTATCAGAGCGCTTCATGGAGAGGCTGGACTCCTGAGGGAGGGCAGACACCATGCCGGCGCCAGCAAGAGAAAGGACGGAGAAGATAGAGAGTCTCATTTTGACGGAGGTTTTCGAGTTGGTTGTTAGAAGAAGAGAGGAGTAGTTGTGATGAAGAAAGGATTGCGATTATGGATGATGTCTGGAATCCGTGGAATATCCTGGTCCTTATATAGTTTTTGCGACAGGATATCTAGGCATCAATTGCTTCCAAGACCCCCTATGTTCGATAATTGAGTATTCTGATGACCTAGGTCAGATTGTGGAAACTCGATTTGTGAGTCGTAAAAATGAACCCCCGAGTAGTTCCCATCTCAATGGATCAGAAGATCTGCAAAACTCTAGATAGCATTGGTCCCAGTGTAAGAGGCCATGTGAGAGGTTTTGACCACGAACCGAGGCAGAGAGGTCCTGGAAGGGCAGTTCCTGGTATTGGATGAGTGAATTAGATTGAATCACATAGTTCATGATGTGGATATCCATGATCCAGATGGGTTCTAAGCGAGCTGTCTTGGCTATCGATCACTCTTGGTCCATGCTCACTGCGGAGTAACTCCGTATCATTGAAAGGCTTGTAGTCACTGGCTGCAAATGCCAAGTCAATATACAAAACCAATAGCCAGCGGGGCAAACCCCGGTTGTTTCCTCTCCCATTTCTCCGGGGATTTCCTTATCAGTGGAGCCGGTTCCAGGATCTTCCCTGTGGCACCGAATCAGAATTGCCAAGACGTCGATCCATCACAGGGAACTCGCAGAGCCCATTCTCTCCGATCGACCTATCAACCGGAACTCAATTGATGAACAGGAACCAAATCTCTGATCCGTAGTGTTGCAGTCTCCGCAATCTGAAATTTTATGCAATTGGCTTGCGATTTGTCATTTCCAACCCCAGAAAAAAAAGAGACATTTGAGATAAGTCTCGCACCGTTGATTGTACGGCAACGAAGTAGTTTGCGAGCACCAAGGGGTTAACATTGTGTTGATCCAAATGTCTTGGACTCTTGGTAAACCGATCTGGGCAAAGTTAATCCGGATGACCATTGTTCTTCATTGGGTCACTTGAAGGTTCATACATCTCGGCTTCCCCTGATTGTCGTCATGGTCCGTGACGATCTTGATAAGTATGTCTGAATGAGTTACGTGAACGATTGGATCCAACATTGGAAGCAGATATCGATGCTGTGCCTTGTTTAGTCTGTCAACTAAGAGCCGAGGTCATCATCTCAAACATGGTCTCAAATCATATCATCTTGGCTTTCAGGGGATTCGGTATTTGTCGTTATCAATTCGACCATCTGCCGAAAAATAGGAAAAGACTGGGCATTCTCGTGGCGGGATCTGGCGAGATCCTGAGTCAGGACTTAACGGGTCATTGTTGGCCATGGGAAAAGTTCGCATGGGCCTGCAACATTTCGTGGAAATTTCTTGAAATTCAGATAGGATTCCGGTCATAACGATGAAGAACGAAGTGACCAGGGCTGGTAAAGAAACATGTGGCGGTGCCCCTGTGGCGGTGCTTGTCCACACCGCCACACCCTCGCGACACAAAAAACTTCCCGCCTTCAATTAATCCACACCACATTCCCCGGGGTTATCGATCAATCAACCCCTCTACCTTTTTGATTTTTGAGCAGTTGCCCAGCGCATATTGCCCATAGATCACAATCAAAATGCCTTCAACATCTCTCGCCGACCTGGTGGCCGCCCTCCCCTTGGAGGACACCTGGGGCCCCTCCACTTCCGCCGATAACATGCTTTCCGGTGTGCCATATGCTCCTTTCTCCAAGGGCGACAAGCTGGGCCGCATGGCCGACTGGACCGCCGAGACCAAGGAGCGTCAGAACCAACGTCCCCAGTACAACCGCGGTTTTAGAGGTATGTTCACCTTTTTTCTGTCCACACTAAGTTTCTCTTTCAGTCGAATAGTAATGGCTAACAGTCCCATTAGACCAGCAGGTGTACGGTGCCGGTACCTCCAACCTCTTCACTGTCGCAGCCGCCGAGGACGAGTCCTCTTTCTCCGTCGTTGATAACACTCGCGTCCAGAAGCGCGGTTTCGGCCGTGGCGGTGGCACCGTTTTCCGTGGCCGTGGTGGTCAGCGCGGCGCTGCTAACCAGCGCGGTGGACGTGGTGGATTCCAGCGTGCTGGTCCCAATGTTGGCCGCGGTCAGCAAAGTGGCTACCAATTCAGTGACCGTGGCGGCGCCCGCGGTGGCCGTGGTGGCCGTCGTTTCGGCTGGAGAGACTACGACAAGCCCCAGCGCATTCGTGAGGCGTCTGTCAACATTCGTCCTGACTGGAAGATGCTCGAGGAGGTTGACTTCACCCGTCTGTCTAAACTGAACCTCGATGCTCCTGAGGGCGAGGACCTCGAGACCTACGGTTTCCTCCACTACTACGACAAGTCCTACGACAAGCCCCCCGTCAAGAACGCCGAGCGCAGAATGCAAGCCCTCGACCGTGCTGCCTACAACGTTACCACCTCCCAGGATCCCGTCATCAATGAGCTCGCCGAGAAGAACGCCGCTACCGTCTTCTCTACCTCCGATATCCTGTCCATGCTGATGTGCGCCACCCGCAGTGTCTACTCGTGGGATATCGTCATCGTCCACCAGGGCGACAAGATCTACTTCGACAAGCGCGACGGTGCCTCCTTCGACATGATCAGCGTCAACGAGAACGCCATCGATGCGCCTCTCGAGGCCGCCGAGGCCGCCGGCAAGCAGGAGCAGATTAACACCCCCAACGCCCTCGCCATGGAGGCCACCATCATCAACCACAACTTCGCCCTGCAGACTCTGATCGAGTCCGACAAGAACAAGGTTTCCTTCGCCAAGCCCAACCCCTTCTACGACGAGACCGAGGAGACCGAGCCCCTCGCCTCCAAGGGTTACAAGTACCGCCGCTTCGACATCTCCCTCGAGCGCGACGAGGAGCCCGTCTCCATGATCGTCCGCACAGAGGTCGACGCCGTCATGAAGGGCGGCCCCACCGGTACCGAGGACCAGCAGCTCATCATCAAGGCCCTGAACGAGTTCGACCCCAAGGCCCAAGGCTCCGGCGGTGCCCTCGACTGGCGCAGCAAGCTCAACTCCCAGCGTGGTGCCGTCCTCGCTACCGAGATGAAGAACAACAGCGCCAAGCTCGCCCGCTGGACCACCCAAGCTATCCTGGCCAAGGCTGACGGCATGAAGCTCGGTTTCGTGTCCCGTGTCAACCCCCGCTCTGCTGCTGCCCACGTCGTGCTCGGCGTTGCTGGCTACAAGCCCCGCGAGTTCGCTAGCCAGATGAACCTCAACCTCGGTAACGGTTGGGGTATCGTCCGTACTATCGTTGACCGTATCCGTGCTCTTGACTCCGACGAGCCCGCCGATAAGGTCAAGAAGTACGTCCTCATCAAGGACCCTAACAAGTCTGTCCTGCGTCTGTACAGCGTCCCTGCTACTACTTTCGAGGAGGATGATGAGGAGCTTGAGGAGGAGAAGGAGGGCGAGAAGTCCGATGAGGCTGATGAGTAGATTTTGTTCTGATGAATTATGTTCTTCCTTAAATGTGCATACTCGACCTAAAATTTGATGCTTTTATACTCTGACTATAGAGTCTGACCACAATCTATTTAACAAACTTCATTACCAGACAAACTTGACTTTTATTATCTCCATCACTAAACCATCATCCATCCAAGGGGAAGATACCGTTTGGTTGGCATGTCCCCGGATCAAGAAGCCTGTTACGCGGATGATTCATTTTAGTAATGCTTCCTTTATGGGTTGCCCGTGATGTCCGTAGTCGAGTAACACGACTTTTGTACAACTTTCTCGGGGGAACACAAAGAACGTCTTGGGTGCCTTCTCGGTGACTTTCGGCGGTTCTACGCGCCGAGGATTTCTGACATGGGCTTACGGCTATAATGCTTTTTTTGGATATGGATACGCGTATCGAGAGGATGTTGTCTGCTGATATTCGAGTATCATATAAACCTAGTGCCGTTGGAGTAGAGTGGTGTATTGGAAGCAAGATTCAAAGCAATATAATCCATTGCTCTACCTGATAGGAAGAAAGGCAGGATATTTCCCAGTTATATATCATCTGCACCGGTAATTTCACTTATATACAACCCTCCCAGCGGGAGTGTCGAAGACACAGAATAAAAGATAAAAACATATACCCAAATGAAATACCTCACAGGCACAATCAAAACCGAAAGGCAGGCAGCAAGCAAAGACGCCGAGTCACTCCGTGGCAGTAGCCAACACAGACAAAAAGACAGATTCTCCAGACATCAGATCATAATCATTTTCATTGCGTTCGACCACTCAACCATACATCGAATCATCGGGCGCAGACATGCTGAGATCAACCTTGGTACCGAGCACGCTGCTCAGACAATCTATCAACTCGAAGTCCTCGACCACAGCGCCGAAGCCGTAGCAGCGGACCTTGGTGTTGAGCGTGTCGATGATGATCTTGATATCGTCGCGCCGCAGCGTCGGGTACAGCTCGTGGTTCTTGAGACACTGCAGCGCCATGATGGGCGTGATCTGTCCTTCTGTCACGAGCTGTCGGCTGAGGTTGAGGAGTGTGCTGAGGTTTGCATGCGGGAGGTCCGGCGCCTTGTGCGGGTATGGTTGTTCGGGTGTCGTTTTCGCAATGTAGCTCGGCGGTGGGCACGTTGCCATCAGGGCGTGTCCGGAAAACGGCATGTCTTCGTCGTCGGCTTCTGTGACTGACCGCCGGCAGAGGTAGTCTGTGTGTTCGCGACAGGGACCTTCGAGTCTGTAGGATGTATTCGTTAGCTCGTGTTTGCTATTAGATGGGAATGGGCCTCACGTTAGGATAAAGTCAACCTGCAACTGGGGGTCGGTTTCGAAGACACCTCCCCGCGTAACTGGCATGGGCTGCATAGTATCGACGGGTGCGCACGATGAATGATCCATGCTCATGGAATGCCCGCCTACACTCGTGTGGTACACTTGCTGTTGGGGCGCATATCCGATCGGGGGCGAGACCGAGGAGTGATCCATGCCATTGGCGCGGGGGCTCAAGTCGGATGAGATCGTGGTTGCAGGGGTTGTGTTGGGGTTGCTGGCCGAGTTGGCGAGAGGGGCAATCTGCGACGCATTGCTGCTGCCGGCCACAGTAACAGGGGATTGGAAGGGCATCATCGGTGGGCGCTCCGCCCGGCGGCCCTCTAGATCCGCTTCGTATTGAATTCCGCTCGCTGCGAGAATTTCCTTCAGGATTTCGTTCTCCTCTCGTATCGAATGCATCATCTCTTTGTGCTGTTGAATTGATGCGTTGGCCTCTGCGATCTCTGTGGTGTAAGCCTCCCGTAACCGCGATACTTCGGTCTCCAGCGCTCTTATGTATTGTTCCTTTCGCTCACGATGTGTCCTGTATGGATCAGTCCAGCCCGATGTTCTCGAATCCGCAGGATTTGTACCTCTGGGCCTGACGATTCAATTCCTGCCGCCTGGTGAGTGCAGGCTTACTATCCGGCTTGGGGCCGCGACGTTTGGGCTGCTGGCCATCTGCAAAGGCTTAGTCGTGGTCCGACCGACTGCCTGGGTTCACTCACCTCGCGTGGTCTTCTTCGGCCCGGTACCACTTGTGGCGCTGCCACTGCCGCCTCCTCCGAAGATCTTAAATATTTCGGCACCGAAGCCTTTGTTCGATGGGGTCTGCGGTTCTTCTACCATGTCCTGCACCGTGCACTCCGGGGCCGGGGGCCGAGCCGGAGGAGCATGGGCGCCATAATATCAGCAACTACCGTGGAAATGCCATAAACAGTGGATATTTGCTTCCGGTCCGGAAAAGCTCAGGGTGGTCGGGGAGGGTCAGCTCTGGATAGCTTAGGTGGCGAGAACCGGGGAAACCCGCTGCAATTCCTGGACCCCAGCCTTCACCAGCTTCACCAGGTTTACCAGTTTGCAGACTGTTTGCAGACTGCGGAGGGACCAGCGAAATCAATTGGACCCGTGCATTCCAGCTTATGTGGCGATTTGTACGTTGTAGAGGTGCTGGATACCCCCCGATCGCGAACCATCGCCAGCAGACCAAAAGAAGATATAGCACTCACCAGGATAGCCCATTGCATGATCCATAGGGTAAACCCCACCACTGACAGCCATTATAAGAGTTTTCGCGGGGAAGGGAGAGGCAAGGGAGAAGGTTAAGTGTGGAAATGAGTCGAGAAGGTATGAAGTCCCGTGTCTGGAGTCTGGAGAGTATAATATAAGGAAAAGAAAGTGGACGCCCGATTTTTGTACAACTCCTTTTTTATTTTACTTTATTTAATTGTTTGATAATTCCTTTTCTCTTATGTTTCTTATTAACGGATTTTACGCAAATTAAAATCAAAAAAAAGGCGTTCGATCTGTCTTAGGGCCCACTGCGCTATAATCAAACGGCCGTGGGACCCGACTCTTTTCGTTGACAGATCTAGAACTGGCAGAGATTGGCTGAACGGGGTCTAACGTCGTATTAATTGACAGGAATCGACAGGAATAGATACGACAGACACGACAGAGGCGAAATACTCGACACTTTACATACTCAACGCGTTACTAGAGTCATGAGAAGCAGGGGTACATTAATGGTACATCATTCCACGGCTATTATGATACTATGGAACAAGTACCCCTAAGTACCAGGTACGTGCGAAGTCAGTGTGATCAGTCAACTGGGCTGACCAATCATCCGTCCAATAGGCTTGGAGACCTCCAGGCACATCCAATAGTCTTCTCCCATGCTGAGATTATCGAGATCATCGAGATCGCGAACATTCCCAGCACTGACAAATAATACGATCCCTGGGCATCTGCCCTATTCCCACTAGTGCGCATCGAATACAATAATGCGCGCATTAGAAACGGAATAATGATCCAGCTCCCGGACTCGCAGATTCTAGTGCACATCGCCGCCGCAAGCACCGCACAAGATGACGCGCGCTATAGGGCGCAAGTCGCCGCCATCCTAGAATTCCAGTGTGCTACGCGCCAACCGCTGATGCAGATGAGCAAGTCTGCTTCCACCGATGGAGACAGCGCGCATCCATTCTCCGCCGGTGCCGCCGTGCATTCCTCGGTGCCCCCGACGACTCAACACGAGGCCTCGCCAATATTGCGGGAGGCGTTCCGGCCCGCAGACACGACCATATCCTCGGATCAACGCTTGATTCCTGAGACGGATGGCGCGGCTCCACGTAACATCATCTCAAATCAATTAAGCTCCTTAGAGAGTCTCATCAGCGTCATCCCAGATTCTCAACCCGAGATCGCCGACGAGCTAGTCCACGCCGAGCAATCTCGTGCAGAACTATCGCCTCAACCGCAGCTTGCTCCACCCCCCAAAAGACGTCGCATAGCCCCGGCCTCCCCTGATCCGGCTCAACCGGTTTTAATTTCAGACTCTCCTGCAGCGGACCAGCCCGCTGCATCTCACAGGGTGATCTCCATCCAGAACCAGGTCCCAATATCCAGCCCAGGTTCAGTCGAAGGCCCTACCACACCCTCACATCACATGCCGACCAACACTACAACCCCTAATCCCATAAATCTATCCACCCTCCCCCTCGAAATTCACCCTCCAAGACCCCCAATCTCCACTGCCTCGTTCACTACCCACATAACTCCAACCCTATCCATGCTCACGGAGCGCCTAAACCCAGCACGCATCTACAAACTATCCACTCAAACCCGCCCCCTCGACCCCTTAGAACGGGGCTACTGGCTCGTGCAGCTCGCTATCGAGGATCAAACCCCAGAACGAGACCGAGACCGAGATCCAGTCGATCTTCTTCTATTGCCATCCCCAAACCCCAAGCATGGAACCACTAATTCAAATGCAAACCCAAACCCAAAAGAGAACACACGATCTTGGCCCTCCCCGCTCTTCCACGCCTTCTGGTCTTTTCTCTCGGATTTCGTAGGCAGGGACGGCCGTGCGGGCTGGGGCGTCTGGTGTATCCTTGAGGCTGCGACGCCCCCATCAACGCGCTCGTCTGACACGCACGTCTCGCTTAAAGTCTATGCCTGGGGCGAGGTCGCTATGCACGTCTACCTGCTGCTCTTCTTGGCAAGTGAGCGGCGGGTTCGGGGGATGGGTGTTCAGTGGCGGGATGCGCGAGAGGAGGTTGTTATTCAGATGCCTTAGGATATGGTCGTTGGGTAGTTTGTTTGGTTTGGGGATGGGGAGGCATGTTGATATTTGGTTGAAATTGTGAAATTATAAATTATACCCCCATAGCTTTGCATTGCGATAATATCATTTGAGATTTTGAATCTTCAATTTCATATTTTGATAGAAGAAGGGTTATTGTACATGCTGGAAAAGAAGAAGAAAAAGAAATTCCGTCGAGGATGATGGTAAACAACAAGGAGATAGAAGTGAAAGCCATGTTTTCGCGAGGAGAGATCAATGGAAATGATTGAATTCAATAAATGAGCAAGTCGGAGTCAGCGAGTCTCCGACGGTCCCTCCGATGCGCCAGGTCGCCAATTGGAGGAAAGAAAAAAAATAAGACGAAAAGTGTGATCAAATCAGTGCATGGAACTAGTACTGCAGTTCGCCGCTGCCAGAGGCGTCGACTGCATCCAGATCCTCGTAGCTCTTCAGGCTGCGGCCTTGGACGGCTTCGCGCGGGGCCATGGGACCTCCGCTGGAACCCATGGAGTCTGGGAACGGATTGGCCGCGGCCATGTTAGCGGCGGGGTGGCCAGCTGGAACGCTGACACCAGGAGGCGGGAGGCGACCACCATACATGCCCGGCATGCCGCGGGGAGGGCTAAGTCGGCCGTTTCCATTGAATCGGCGACGGTCGTATGGGCCGGGTCGGTTGTTACGGTTCTGGCCGCGGCGCATGGGTCCGGGCTGGTGCAGACCACCGTCGTGTCCCATTGCATTTCCATTCCAGCCGGAACCCATCATGCCGGGAATTGAAGGGAAGGTAGGCATGTTTCCATTGGGGGCGTAGGGCATGCTGGCAAGGGTGAATCCACGAGGAGTGCCGGTGTGACCTTGGCCGGAGCCAAGTGGGAAGTGACCGTTGCTGTTGGCATCGGATCGGGATGGGGCAATGCGTGCTGGGTCCAAGACATAGGCATTCACTAAGGCGAGCTATGACGACTGTTAATACTGGAAATACTTGTTGGATGATCGCACACTTACATCGTTCTTGATGCCATCGAACCACTCTGTATGGCGCTTCTCGACATGCTTGCGCCAGAAGGCTTCGGCCTTGAAAAGCTTAGTACATTCTGGCGCCTTGCACCGGTACTTGGAGTCGTCCTCCTGCTTCATATATTTCAGAAGCTCGTCCTCAAGCGCCTGATCAACGGGCTTACCGCCGAGCTTGCTGAGATCGACGTTCTCTGGCTCTAGAATCTGCAACAACTTGTCTTCAAACGTCTTCACCCAGTTAAAGGCACGTTGCAGTTGCTGTTCAGATTTGGAACCATGGCGCTGTCCGCGCTTCTCCTGGACAGGCGAGGAGGGATCTTCTCCTTCCTCACTAGGTTCCTTCTTCTTGGCCGGGAATGGCTGGCCGAGCGCGCTGGCTCGGGCCACTTCCTTGGCCTGGGTGGAAAGTCCGGTGCGCGGACGGCGAAGGTGTCCACCAGGGCACTTGCGGCCGAGCTCATGGACTGAGTCACTTTCAAAGACACAGAAGAAGCAGAAGTTGTAGACCCGACGCAGGTATTCAACAACCAAGTCTAGCTTCTTCTTCTTCACTGCAAGTTCCTCATCATCTACATCTTCTTCTTCGGAGATTTCCTTCTCTTCACCTTCCTCAATCTCCCCTTCGTCCCCTTCATCACCGTATCCGTTTCTCTGCTTCTTGACACTGACTGGTCCCGTAGCAGGAGGCTGGAGCTCTCCTTTGCCGCGCAGGTCATCAACATACTCTTCGATCTTGGTGAAACCATCCACAGAGATGTTCATTTCGGAGTCCAGTTTGGAAGTTAAACGTTTGGCCAGCTCGAGATCACGATCAATTCGCTCAGGTGCAGAAAACAGATCCCAGAGAGCCTTCTTGCGCGGCTGAGCAGGGGGAACATGAACCCCGACATGACAAACAAAGTCACCATGAACGGAATCATGGATGGTCTTGTCATTGACAGCCTCGAGGGCTTTCTCAGCCGGGCTGATTGTGACACCACCATTCGCACCTCCATCTTGGTCCATATTTTCGAACTCTTCATCGCGTCCATCCCCTCGCTCCACTGTGGTGTTTGCGGAAGGGTGCAACATGATCCATCCCATGCGATGGAACTTTTTAGATGGGTTCGGGTCGCTGAGGCTCAACCCCTTGAAACCTCCATCTTCCTCGCCGAGATGCTCTTTGCAAAACTCCTCGATCTTGCTGCGGCTGACGTTGGGTGCGAGGGTTTTTATAAGGAGCGCAGGCTGTGCAAGAGCTTCGTCACGAAGGTCTCCTCCACGGACTGGAAGTAGGTCAAGCACTCCCATGGTCTCAGCGGTAGCCGTAGTCTCGCCTTCCTCCTTTTCAACCACACCACCGGCACCGTCGCTATCGCTCTTGTATATGCCTTCAAGGGTAAAGTCCTTGAAAAGGTTATTTTCAATATCATGCTCCCACTGTTCATATGCACCTTGTCGAACCGTCGTGAGACGGGCGCGAAGAGGATCTCTGACTTCAGGAAGATATCGTTCTTTGAACCACTCCTCGTTACGGTGCTGCTGGACGAATAGCCTGGCCAGTCGAATTTGCAGATCAACCTTGTATGTATCATAAGCTGCCTGGATCTGCGCACGTTCCTTCTCCCGATCTTCGCGCGCCTCGCGCTCTCCCTTGACTCGACGACCGCCGTTCTTGGCGCGCTCCTTCTCCTCATTCACAGATTCCTCCAATCTCCACCACTCGGCGAACCAATTGAATCCGACTTGGAAATCGAGTGTAAGAGGATTGGGCATCGGGTTGGTCGGAATAGGACGCTTGCCACCACTACTGCTGTCTTGTCCGGGCACATAGCGGTCGATGTTGGCCACAGTTGGCGATGGGGCACGTCGGCGGTCCTCGCGCTCTCGGGCAGCATGCTCCCGAGAATTGTTGTAGAAGTCCTCGCGGTGAGAACGACGCTCCGAAGGCTCGTACCGGTCAATCACGGGCGAGCGGGAGCGCGGCCGTGCACGTCGTCGATCTTGAGAGGCTAGCCAAGAGTTAATTTCGCCCTCCTCTCTCCAATACTCAATGATAGACTTACCGGGCGACCGACGCCTGTATGATTCCCCCGTGGCTCGTCCCGTAAAAGAATCTGACTCACGATTCCTCCCGGGAGATCCATAACCATCGTAGGAGTCCATTGTTCTCAACCTTCCGGATAGGGATCTTGTATCGCCTTCGTTGCGATCAAGGTATCGATAGACCCAAGGACTCAGCCCAGGTGGATAAAGAGCAAACGAAACAGTTTGCCTTGATCGATAAGGGAGTCGGGACCGTAGGGTGAGCTAAGATTTGGTATCGTCAACATCAGACCAAGCAACTTCATAGAGCGAAATAGCGATGGTGGCGACTGGGAAGTTCACGAGGGATAACAGAGGCAGGGGTCAGGGAAAATAAAGAGACAAGAACACACTGCTGCTGGCGACATGTCAACCCCGGAACTTGGCAGGGGTTGGAACATGTTTGCAGCAGGTGGTTTCGGATAGCAAAGAGAGATTATGAAGAAGGCTGTTGGCCAGAGCCAATGCTGTTATGCATGTAAGGAGTCATAGCCCACAGAATCCAGCAATGCGCAGCTGGCGCCACGGCTTAGAAAGGAAGAAAAGAAGATGAAGCAGGGGAATGGAAAATCAGGGTCAGAGGAGCGGAGGCTGATAGAAAGAGAAAGGGCAAGGGACAAAGCCAAAGAATGAACAGAATCCGATTGGAGAAAGAAGAGGGCCACCTACAAGAAGCCTCGAGCGATAACGTGACAGTTGGTGATAAAGGGAAGAAACCGAGAAGGCGGACGAAGCTGGAGCAAGCTGGGGCGCTTAGCCGAAAGGGGTATGGCGTCACGGGGATCACTGACATCCGCTGATTGGCGGGTTCTCAGGAACAAGGCCAGATGACAATTGCCTGCCCTAACTTGGCGACAAGTTGAGTCTGGAATTTGCAAGTTAGGAATGAAATGAGAAGAGGGAGAGAAAGAAAAGTTGGGTAAGTTGGAAAAGAAGTGAGCCTGGATTAGCCACGCTAAGGCCGCCACATATGAATGAAGTATAACTTTGGAACAGTCAGGAGGCCGGAAACTTCACTGTTGTTGATAATTTACTTCATGGGAATCTGCTTCGGTGTTGTGGTACTTGTTTCACTGAACAGCCTATCAACCTGTTCGTTTTCTCAGCCCCTGATCATTCATGTTGGTCGCCAGGTCGCCGGGTCACCTTTCGCTTGACTACATGACTAGCGCCGACAAACGAAGTGATACATCCATGCATGGATTCCGGGGGTACGGAGTAATTAAAATATGGAACATTCTTTTCGGCTTTTGTGAATATGTATGTCTATATATTGTATACAGGGTGCGGTTTATATCTAAAGGATCCAATTGCAATGACAATATAATAAAAAGACCAGGTCTTCTCGTTATAGTCACCACAAGGCTGATATTATTCATAGGAAGGCTAAGTATAGAACGAAGCCTAGATTACGCAATCTCAAAAGAATATTCTTGTTAGAGCGCCAGAGCAACAAAGAAGGACAGTTTCACTTGGGGTCAACTTTTCCTCTTCACATACCTACCAAACCACATAACCCTTTCGATATAAACCTTTTGACAGAGAAAACAGTGCATAGGAAGTTTGGGTGTCATACTCAATCACATGCTGCATCAGTCTACTTACGACTCAAGAAGAACGAGACATAATGCGGTAATGCATACCATATATATAGGTACATATATATTGCCCTCAATCTTGACAGATGACACAAATTTAAGCAAGAAGAAGAAAAAAACCCGTTACGACAGCTCAACTCACGATGTCCCCACAGGTCTTTTACAAGCATAACCTTGGAATAATTGATAGGTCTTTGCTCACCGCTGATTGGCTGACCAAGACCACCACGATCGCCAAATCGCACCAGCATAACACGCCACATTTTGACCTCCGATCGAACGACCATGTCCGGTCTCTTCAACTCTCGCTGGGCACCCGTGAATGGGGGAAACAAAACATACCCGGCGAGTCAAAATGGTCCCCGGTACTGGTCCTCCAACAACTCTAATCCCGGCGGTAATAGCAGCGTCCGTCCGACGACTATCACATCCCAGGACGGCCGTTTGCTGCCGCCAGCCGAAGAATTGGCTCGATTTATGAAAATTGTCGCCAGGCTGCGATGGAAACTTCCATTTTTAGCTGAAGGATACCGCCTTGCGACACTGGAAATAAGCGATGTCGTATCCGCAGACGATGTCGCGCACGCTGAAATAATGTTCAAGATTGATTTTCATGAATATTATGCTCTGCTTGAGCGTGCTATTGTCCACTTACTGGCGGTGTTCAATATCTCGGTTACGTCCTCGCCTCGAGGACCGCCAGATAATGGGAACGGCGTCGGTCGGCCTGTTGGTATTCATCGATACCACGCCAATGTGCTAGAGGCCTTGCGGGAACAATCAACCCCACTCTCCCCTGTTCTTGGCGGTGGCTCTGTTTATTTGCAATTGCAAAAGGCCAAGGAGCTGCGGAATAGGTGGAAAACTGCTGATCTGACCTTGGAAGAAAGAGAAAAACAGGGTGAAAGAAAGGACATCATGACACTTGCGAGTTTTGACTTTGAGGGTATCATTTCTGATATTTTTGGTGGATTAGAAGAATCATATGTTCGGGCAAAGGAGCATGTCGATAAGTGCATCCGCCCGGAGGAGGGCACTGGAGAGGGAGCAAACACCGAGGCGGACTGGGGGTTCATGGTCGATGCCATGGATTGGGAAGCCGTATGAGAGTTGGCCAACTGCAGATTTCATGGCCTGTGCTCATCATCTTTATTCCGCGGTGTGGTGTGCAGTCGGTGTCAAATTCATGGTTCGATAACCAGGTGCATGCTCTCATTGCTATGCAGACCCCTATTAGCACTGCAAAATGGCTCGATCATGGTCTTGAGTCACCCAAATCCTGTTGTCGGTTTACCTCAACATTTGCACTCGCTACTGTGGGCGGTTCGAAGGTTCCCCAGCTGGAAACTTTGTTGGACATTGCTGCAGTCCTTGGACATTCTTGTTTTCATTTGGCGAGGAAAAGACATGTCATATCTTTGTTGACCACTACAAACTAAATGATGTACATATTTGTTGAAATGTGCTATGAATCAATATGAACGGAGTTGATATTTTGGGGCTAAATAAGCATCTCAACTTGTCTTGCTCGTCGTCCAACTTTTCCCCGATCAAGACCCGCAGATGACTTACTGTTATCTAGAATGAGTAGCCCACGTAAAAAATAAGTAACGGTTGGAACCATCCCTATCATTGAGAACTAAAGAGCTACCGTTCTTAGGTGTGATATGATGAAAGTTGAAAATTCTGTCATCACGACTCTCTCTGCGTGGTTTCAAGAAATCTTAATTGATATTTTAACTACCTCTTATTTGTGAAAATTGCTCGAAGAGTATGGGCTTCATGACCCGTTGAGCACTACAGTGTGTGTCCAGACGAGAAGAGAGAGATAGGTAATTCCTAACTAGGGCAAGGTTGAATTGGGAGGCAGGAGCTAGAACGTGCACGATTTCACTGGCCTTCGCGTTGGTAGTAGAAACGCCGAGGTGAGATAGGAGTTGGGAGTGTGCCTCGCAGGTACTGTCCGATGTCGTGAGCATGATGGATATCTTGGAAGATAATCATGTCTATGATCTTAGTTAAAATGTAAGCCTTAAGTAGCCTATCCCTAAGAAACTTACGGCGGGTGCGCCGGGAATTTTGTTCATCGTGAAGGATCTATGCCACCATCTTTGTGATTTCTTGCCATAGAAGTTCAGGTCTCTTATCACGACCTCGAGGCAATGCTTTCACTTCAATTATGGCAAACTTCTCTGGGAATGCCCCTGCCTCGAGACATCCCTCTGTGAGTATAACCATGTTGCCACAGGATGCTTTATTGAATGGCGAGCGTACTGGAGACCAGGCATGGTGCATCTCGGAGAGGTGGATCGTGAGGAGGCATGGTAGAGTTTCGTTTACGATTTGCTCTTCCAGCGCGATGTCCATATCGGCGGCAGCTCAGCTGCTACTTCACTTATTGTGATAGCGATTTCCGACTGAAGGTCAGTTATTTCTGACGGCAGTCTCAATTGGTTAAAGTAGAGCCTGTGCGCGATCCATCTTCGAGGAGTAGTTGGTTCTGGCTCGGAATCCGGTGGGATCCTGTGCTGGGACTGCGCAACAAGCTGGAAAATACCCATATTCCGATTTGCATAGTATTTTGTGTGCTCATCGATGTGCGCGTATACTCACCCACATAGTCCAGGAACTAGGCGGCGCCGGCACCGATATCTGTCTTCTTTGCCTCCTCGTTCATTCCGTACCAGATTCCGTAATCAAGGCGAGCGGGCGGATAGGATGGCCTTCTCACCATTTAACTCTACCGGGCCAGGTCTATATGGCCTTTCGTTTAGACGTTAATAAGTTGCGCATAGGGGACAGCGATCCCGTGCGCGTTCAGGAGGAGGAGATGGAGGTTCCATAGATAGGTACTGGCTGGACATGTTGAAGTTCGTAGTCGCCTCGTGCTTGGGGTTGAGAGCCTTGACCACCTCTTCTCGGGAGAGAATTGAGATGAGAAAGTCTTATACTGTTGTGTGACCTTGTTGACCTAAATGGATATTTGCCCTTCAATGTACCTTCCCTTCTAATGGGACATGATATCTCTTAGTCTGTAAGCATCAGTACCGCAGAATATCTGTAAGACCACTAACTCAGTGGCGCATTTGTTCAACGTGTTGATGCCCTCGGGAATGGGAGGACGTTCGAGGGAGATATGGCTAAGTGAGGGATATCTGGTGGTGGTGCCTACCTCTTGGGTGGAAGCCCGTGATATTTGGCAGTTGCGTGGGATTGATGGATTCCTTCGCGTAGTTCATGAGCAAGTCCATCGGTGCGTAACGGAAGACGACGTCGTGTGTCCTGCTCATCGTGTTTGAGGTGTAAGCGGTGTTTCTGGCTTCACCAAAGTGCGAGCCGCGGAATTGCTGCACCTTTGTCTTCTTCGTCAATTGCGTATAATATGAGAAAGAAGATTAGAATGGCGAGATGACAGCTGTGGAAGACGAGAGTAAAGATGACCGTGTGGACATGTAGACCTTTAGGGGATTTTAGACTAGGAAGTCTTTGAATCAAAAGTTCCACTAGTAGTTATCTAATAGAGGTTATGCAAGATCCATTGAACTCACAGAACTAATGATAAAAATATAGTGAAATGAGAGTGAAGGGAGAATGAAGTGAGAGTATAACTATGATCAGATTTGTGGAAGATGAGAGTAAAGATGACTGACTGACTGTGTAGAGCTGTAGACCGTTAACTACATGTACGCCCATAGCTTGCTATCACCATAATTTCTCCTTATTGCGACAGAAAGAAAAATGCTACAGAACAGACACCCCAAGGATTACCGATACAGACAAAGACAAGACAAGACAATAAGTGTCAATATCTGCAATATATTCATAGTTCCAAATCTACAATCCAATTTCCACCCCTGCCCACACTTGCCCTGCAAGTTCCTACCAAATCCTAACCAAACCACGAAAAGAACCCAAAGAAAAAAAGGAAACAAAACATCAACACTATCAGTCGAGTGATATTCATAACAAACCAGTCTTTCGAAAACCGATATTCCGATCTGTTTTTCCAGTGATGGAGACCCTCTAAAATTCCCAGCCGACCCATAAACCCGCAACACGAGACACCGGAGAAGAAAAGAAGCAAAGTAGGAAATGGAGATGTCATAGGAAAATAAGATGAAAAAAGCAGCCAGAAGAATATTCATAATAGAAACATGAAAGTGGATATCAGCATGGGGACGGAAAGGTGGAGATAGCACATTCGGGTGAAAGTCGAATATTTAGCCAATTGCTAACTGCCGTATATTATGAGGCGGCATATGCACAACCATGTATTGCCCTTGAAGACCATACATGTAATACAAGGGCCAGCGGGCGACACAATTTCCAGCAGAGTAAAGCAGAGCATGCTATCTCTCCAGTCTCACATATCACTTTCAACAAGTGAAAGTGTAGATGCTTGAAACGGTCATTCTTGTACAAGGTATCTCCCACGAAGGGAGTTACCGTTGAGGAAGAGGATCGATGATAAAATAGGCAAGAGGGGGAATGAGAAAGAATAAATCGTCCCGGCATAGCGAATATAAACAGACATCAGGGGCAAATGGGGGTAAGATAGATTGAAAAAAAAAACATCAAGCGAAAACACATGAGAAGAGAGCATATCACAAAGCACATCAAATGGGGCATAGAGCATAGAAAGGGATCCATACACATCGCTCGCTAGAGAAAAGGTCCAAGACATCCATCCATAAAGCCGTCACGACAAAAGAAAAACAAAGGAAATTCAATACCGCAAGTCCCCTCAGCAAGCTGTATGGTTCAGTCTTGTGGGTGAAGACAATGAAAACGGGGGCGACTAGCCGTCCTCATCTGAGGGCTCAGCAGAATCCCCTTCGCTTCCATCAGCGCTGGCGTTGACCTTCGTTTTCTTAGAAGAATTCGAGCCTTCGCCGTGAGCTTCACTTGACTTGCGCTTCTGCCCACCATTCTCGGTTGGCAATGGCTTGCTGAGATCCTCGAAGGTGACAGGCTGACCCGTTACCTCTTCTCGTTTCTCCATAGCGGCCACTTCGTCTGCAGTCAGGAAACGTCCACCGGGTCCACGCGGTCTTCGCATGGCGTGATTGTGTCGGGACTCGTGCAGATAAGGCTTGCGACCCTTTGATGTCAAACGCAGCTGCTCCTCCAGCTTTTGTCGCGCTACGCGACGCTTCAAGATTCTGTGGAACTGCTTGGCGTTCACGTACAGTGGCGACTCTTCTTGGTTGCCGCCGGGTACCATGTCGGGTGAGGGCTGGCTTTGTTGTACGGGAGCCTGGGGAAGTGGGGCGGCGATGGGGGCCCGGCCGACGTGGCTCATAACGGGCTGCGCAGTCTGGACATTGGGGCTACCGACATGGCTCATGCGACGTTGCGAAAGTTGCTGGTTTTGCATCTGAACCTGCGATCCCATCGGGGGCATCTGGTTTTGCATCTGGGGGGGCGATCGAGGGTCACGGTCCTTCATCTGCATGCTCGCCATGCGCGGCGAGGCTCTGGAACCCTGGGGAATCTGGCCGGCCATGGAGTCCTGGTGGAGGGGGTAGAATTGCCCAGACGCAGCTGCAGTGGCCATCGCGGCAGCCTGCGTCGGCGAAATGCCGTAACCCTGAGCCATGGGCGCGGGGACACCATAGCTTTGGGGAAAATTCATTTGTTGGTGAACACCTCCGGGTCCATTCTGTGCTTGTTGGTAATGAGGTTGCGACGGAACGATGGGAGAGGACTGATGGTTTGAGTGAGATTGGATCGGTGCCTGGGCGTTGGAGGGTGAGGCCATCGACCCAACAGGAGGACCGGCATTTGGTGGCCCGGTTTGGTAAGGACCAGGGATGTGAGAGGGAGCATGTGGATGTTGCCCGTGGGCCTGTTGATATTGGGGAGGGTATTCCATACTGGCGAGTGTGATAGTGGATCTTGTCACACGCCGATTGAGTGGATCGATCTGAAAGTGGCGACTTTATATTGAGATCACCAATCAAACCAAAGGATTGCTTTGTGGTGGTAGCTCAAAATATGTCAAAAGTTGATGGCGACGTCTGTTTGGTAGATGTAATAAACGGATATCGCAAGAGCGCGCAATGAGGGACAAGAGTCAACACAGGTGCTGGGGTAGACGGCTGATGATTCGACGAATAGTCTGCAGGCTCGGGGAGTCGCGTCAGCAGAGCGCATCGCCGAGAGGTCACTAGATTGGCGGGTGGGGGTATGGGTCCAAAAGAACACAACGGAACCAAGCACGTACCTCAAAACTGCCCGCGCGTTCTGAACAACCTATATAGTTCTTGTTTTCGTAACAGAAGCTCTTTGGTCAACCTCTTGTCGAGAATAATCCCGAACTGCTTGTGGAGGGTTTTGACTCTTTTGTGCAAGATTGTTTACGCCCACTGTCGGGTGTAACGTGGTTGGGCTGTGATGCAGCGGTGCCGGGGGGTGCCTCAACTATATGTCGGCTTGATGCGTTGTCAAGTCAGAACAGCCCTGGCGATGGGCAGGTTGGTGTGGAGACTACGCAGTATATACCAAGCACGGTCGGCAGGCTACCTCATTCACGCAACTCTGAGACTTTCTCTGCCACGTCCAGCGTAGATTCGGGCGGTGCTAACAGCCTCGACCTGCGACAGATAAGGCTTGGGTGTTGGTGTCAGAATGCGCCTCTCAGGCTCCACGCACGAACACTATGGGCTAGAATTAGCATTTTAACATCCTAGCCAATGATCGCGCAAAGTCAATGACCAATGCGCTGTCAATACAGAGTTCAAGTGGAGGGGATTTGGGAATCCGGGGCGGGTTAGACCGGTCAGGGTTGAGAGGGGAGACATGTATGCGTTGGCCAAGGTGGATGTTGAGCTGCAGCTGGGAGCCTACCTGGTCGATCGGGTTCTGCAGCGCAGATAAAGTGACGATTTGAGGGTATAGTTAAAAACTGGCCAAAGCCAAGGAACGAATCACTTTGCGCGACTATATGCCATGTCAGATGCAACTGGGTACCCACGAGGGAAGATGTAAATGATAGGGACGCGTGCAGATTGGACAAAAAGAAACATGAAACGCGATCGCGCGCATAGGTAAAATGAGAGGAGCCAATGAGGGAATAGCAAGGTAAAATTGCAGTGTTTTGGTTAAGCACGCGTTGTTTTGCCACGAGATAACCAAAAGAGCGCGCAACGTGGGATTGGAGCTTAGCGATTACCTTAATAGGCACGACAGAAAGGATAGAAAGGATAATCTCCGGGGGTTAAGGTGACTTCCCAATCCCAGGCAATCAAGGGATCCCAGGGTAGAAGATGATTTGACCAGCGGAGGGGAGAGGGGGGAGATCGAGGGATCGTGCCAACGAGAGAGAAGGCGGTGGTTCTGTGCGTAACCGGAGCCACTGATGTCAAGCCGGGCAGTTCCGCAAGTATAGAAGTACCGGCAGTAAAGCAGTCAGGCAGCAAGGCAGTCAGGCAGTACAAGCGTAGCGTACAAGCAGTACAAGATGTATATAGGGATACAATTGTAGTTCCAGGTGAAATGGGCAAAACAAGTAAAATGGGAATACAACAGAAATCCAAGTGAATTGTGACATGTGTTTATCCAAGGCGAATTGCCAGATGAAAGATATCGGATTCAAACAAAGAAAAGCAATAGCAATAAAGAGAGCAAAAAGCATACAATTGTAGTAATGTGGTGCAGTGATTGCAAGCAGAAGTGTATATGACTTACCCCAGTTTGATTGGTATCACCAATAGAGAAGGAATGACCGTATGCAAGGCAGGGTTTCACCAATAATGATGTAAAAAGGGGGGAGATGATACTGTGCGATTGGAGGATGAACTGGAGAGGGCGGGCAACCAACGAGAAGAGGCAGAGGGAAGAAAGGCGAGGAAAAAGGGCGGATGGGGCAGTTTTGTAGGAGATTGACTGGCTGCCGACTGAGCGACCGCCTTGCTCCCCGCTGCTGAGGGAGCCTTTTCTGCGGTATTACGCTGGATTACGCATAATTACCGGTTATTACTGGTGTATTCCTCCTGTAACCGCCTAAATGGCCCCCAATGGTATCAACATGACCATACTGTAATAAAACAAATCCGGTGGTCCCGAGCTCTCGTCATGTGCGACCCGAGACTATGACGCATGTATATGTTGTAGTTATCATCTCTTCCTTACAACATACAACATACAACAACATAATCTTTCGTTCTTTTTTGACTTGTTTAGTTCATATAACCATCTACTATATAGCAATTTACTCAGGCTCTCCTCTATATCTTACTCTACTACCCTTGAAACCCAACCCTGACCATGAATCATACCTTTCGGCTGC